CCACAGGAGAGCAGGGGTCACGCTTCACAGTGTGTTGATGGATGAGCACCTGTGCTCTAGGTAACCCTCCCCAAGCCAAGGCAGAGCCAGGTGCTTGCAGGCACTGGGCGTCATGGCTGGGAGGATAAGGGGCCGCCGCCAGCCGCCGGGTGGAGAGAGGAAGCAAGGGCTGGCATGAGTGAGCGAGACTCTCGATGATCAGGCGCCCCAGGCACTCTGCGCTCACTGGGCCAAGCCCTGGACTGGGGGAGAGAGCAGGGAAAGGCTGAGTGGCCGCAGGGGACGGCATGAGGACGCCCCTGCTCCAGGGGGAAGTGAATTCAAACATGCTGGGAGCTGTGCAAGAAGGGAGGGGATGACTGATGGGCAGCAGAAGAGTGGAACAAACTTGGCAGGAGCCCACCCTTCCCTTCCTCCCCTGGCCCGTTACCAGGACCAGCAAGGAGTTGGGGTTGGGCCCAAGTCTTGCTTCTACTCTCTCTCAGCCTCCGCAGACACCTACAGGATCAAGGAGAAGCCCAGGGTGGAGACCCCAGCAGGTAGGAGTGGGGGCAGCTCCTACGAGGGCCCCTCCTCGTGGAGGCGGCTGTTCATGTTGGGGTTACGTGAGTACCTCCTGGGCGTGGTGCCGTGGGGGTGCTGAGACTGACGGCAGGTGTGGTGCCAGGGCTGGGAGCCAATGAGACTCGGCTTGAAGGAGCTGGATATTGCCTGACGCATACGAAGGGAGAGAGATGGCTGGCAGGTGCCCTGAGACAGGAAAGGGCCCGAGGCCGGGGCGTTGGGAGGCAGGCAGGGATTGTAGACAGAGGGTGTCTGTGTGTCCCGGGAGCAGTGAGCAGTGGGAGCCAGGGCTGGCGTGGAGCGGCACAAGGGAGGCGGATCTGGGCAGAAAGGGTGGGAGAGCTCAAAGGCTGGAGTCTGGGATTCCTTGCGAGATACAGGTGACCAAAGACCGCGTTTCCATTTCCCAGGGCTCTGGAAAGCATGTTTGTACCATTCTTGACCCACATCTCCAATGGCTCATGGCAGTGAACCTCCACATGTCTCAACTGCAGCAAATAAAAATACATTTTTTTTTTGACAGGCAGAGTGGACAGTGAGACAGACAGAGAAAGGTCTTCCTTTGCCGTTGGTTCACCCTCCAATGGCCGCCGCGGCCAGCGCACCACACTGATCCGAAGGCAGGAGCCAGGTATTTCTCCTGGTCTCCCATGGGGTGCAGGGCCCAAATACTTGGGCCATCCTCCACTGCACTCCCTGGCCACAGCAGAGAGCTGGCCTGGAAGAGGGGCAACCGGGACAGAATCCGGCGCCCCGACCAGGACTAGAACCTGGTGTGCCGGCACCGCAAGGCGGAGGATTAGCCTGGTGAGCCACGGCGCCGGCCAAAAATACATGTTTTTAAATTTTTGTTGGAGAGGCAGAGAGAGACACAGACAACAATCCCACCTCTGCAGGGTCACTCCCCGAATGCTTGTAGCAACCAAAATTGGGCTGGGCTACAGCTGGGAGCCAGGAACTCCACCTGGGTCTCCCACAAGAGTGGCAGGGACCCAGGTACATGGGCCAGCACCTGTTGCCCCCATCAGCAGGCAGCTGGAATTGGCAGCAGAGCCAAAACTCAAAGCCAGGTGCTCCCATGGGAGTGGCGGGGGGGGGGGGGAGTGCGTCCCCAGCAGTGGCTTGACCCCTGTGGCCAATTCCCGCCCCAAATTTTAAGAGATTTTGTTGACCAAGGCGGGAAAGTAAGCTATGATATTGGTGACGTCAAGGATTGAATAATCATTGCTGTCTAACCTGCAGCTGCTCCCTTATCCAGATTGGTATATTGAGATGGGCCAGGCCGGCGCCATGGCTCAATAGGCTAATCCTCCGCCTGCGGCGCCGGCACACCGGGTTCTAGTCCCGGTCGGGGGCGCCGGTTCTGTCCCGCTTGCCCCTCTTCCAGGCCAGCTCTCTGCTGTGGCCCGGGAGGGCAGTGGAGGATGGCCCAAGTGCTTGGGCCCTGCACCCACATGGGAGACCAGGAGAAGTACCTGGCTCCTGGCTTCGGATCAGCACAATATGCTGGCTCCAGCGTGGCGGCCATTGGAGAGTGAACCAACGGAAAGGAAGACCTTTCTCTCTGTCTCTCTCTCTCACTGTCCACTCTGCCTGTCAAAAGAAAAAAAAAGATGGGCCCGATGCTGAGGTCCCTCTTCCCGCTCTGCACTTGCTGTCACTGGGTGCAGCACTCCCCCAGAGCTGTGATTGGGCCTCATTCGCTTTGTGTGCTCAGCCCCTGGCTCATTGCTTTTTCTCCATCAGCTGAGGACATGGGTGGGTGGGCGGAGAATGGCTTACCAAGGCACCTTGGCTCTGTTGCGTGTCGCTCTGACTTCAGCCTTGATTCAGGTTTGTCGCTGGTGACTCATGCTGCAGAGTAAGAAATCCGCATGGGCCCCTGGAGAGGGAACACGCTGTTGCTGTGCCCTTTGGCCCGTTGTTGGTGCCGGTCTCGGAGGGGCGTTCTGGCGGCGGCGTGAGCAGCAGTGTTGCACTCTGGAACTGGCAGCCCCATGGTGAGCCGTAGCCCTGCAGAGAGGGGCTGTGGTTTAGAAATCGGCCCTGGGGACCAGCTTGGAGGGTCCGCAGGCAAGCAGTGCTCCTCTTGGCCTCCTGCCTGGGGGACTCTCTTTATCCCTTAAAAATGCTTAGTGCCTCGTGTTCCGGGCTTGGGTCCAGGAGCCCACTGTAGGCATTGGCAGGCCTTTGAAAGCGTTCTCCTGTGTAGGATCAGTGAGGCAGGTTGGGGAACTCAAGGCTTTAAGGTTGTGTGGACGTTTGGCTATATCCGGATGTTTTCCTAAAGGTTTCCAGCTAAAGCGAGTTCACGCAGAGTGTTGGCTTTCTATGGGGTTCTGTGCGGTTGTAGGGGGAGGGTGAGTCACTGAAGGAATGCGGTATTGCGAAGGGGAACCTGTCGAGTTTGAGTGGAAATCTGTACAGCCTATTCTAGCTGTGCAGAGTTGTGTGTAAGTCACACACCTTTGGGTGGTGGTGTTGTGTTGAGGGTGGGGGAGGGCAGGGAGGAGCAGGGAGGGGCTCCTGGTTGACTCAGCCTCGGAAGTGACTCAAGGTCGGCAGGAGAGACGCAGAGCAGTCCCCAGTGCGGGCTTCTCCAGGCGGCTTGGCAGGGCAGCAGCACTTTCCTGGCAGTCCTCGCCAGATGGAATCCCCGGGCTCCAGAACCCAGCGGACTGCAACATTCAGGAGGTTTAAATGCGCCGGGGCTGGAATTTGTGAAGAGAGGAAAGGTGCATGGCATATTAATGCGCGGGATACGAGTGAAGTGCAGGGATGGCCCTCGGGCCCTGCAGGGCCGCCACGGGCACAGGTGATGAGACCGCGGGGCCGGATCCCAGCACCCCTGTGCAGCCTGGGAAGGTGCTCCTGGAATAGTTCAGTTCCCGTTCCTCCCCTCTTGCCCTCCCCGGAGCCTAGGGGGGGACACAACGTGGCAGAACCCCCACTGCAACCGTCTCCCCCTTCTCGTTCTCACACGACCCCGAAAGACCATCCCTGACTACCCTAGTCTGTTTCCTCGAGTGGGGTCCTTGTTCCTTGCGTTTTGTATACTTTATTAAACATAATGCACCAGTAATTATTTTAGACTGTTCGAGTAATAATGTACCAGTGCATTTGCACACTTTGTTAAGAGTGACACACTGGTGGTTTTAATGAGCATTTACACTAACGAGGTGTTTTACACACATGACCTCAACCCTACAAGAGAGATGTTATTGGCCCATTGTATGTGCCTGGAACACTGAGGCTCAAAATCAGAGCTGGTAATCGGCAGAGCTGAGATCTGAACAGAATCCTGTTATGTTTCAAAGTTCATGTTCTTTCTAAAAGTTACTTATGTTTACTGAGTCATTTTTATGTACTAAGCAATCATTCTTAGGAACTTATCAGGTTACTGTTATCTAATGAGGAAAAATGAATGGGAAACTGAAGACCATTAAATTTAAATAACTTGTTAAAATTACATAGCACAATTGAAATTAATTTGGGAGCTGGTGCTGGGACTTGCTTGGTTAATCCTCTGCCTGCGGCGCCAACATCCCATATAGGTGCCGGGTTCTAGTCCCGGTTGCTCAGCTTCCAGTCCAGTTCTCTGCTGTGGCCCGGGAGTGCAGTGGAGGATGGCCCAAGAGCTTGGGCCCTGCACCCGCATGGGAGACCAGGAGGAAGCACCTGGCTCCTGGCTTCGGATCGGCACAGCGCTGGCCATGGCAGCCATTTGGGGAGTGAACCAACAGAAAGGAAGACTTCTTTTTTTTTTACAGGCAGAGTGGACAGTGAGAGAGACAGAGAAAGGTCTTCCTTTGCCGTTGGTTCACCCTCTGATGGCTGCCACAGCTGGCGCCGCGGGCAGAGGATTAGCCTATTGAGCCGCGGCACCGGCTGAAAGGAAGACTTTTATTTCTGTGTTTCTCTCTCTTACTGCCTGTGACTCTGCCTTGTCAAAAAAAAAAAAAAAAAAAAAAAGGAAAAAAAAGAAATTGAAATTCATCTGATCTGGTTTTGTACCCACTAGGCAGCATCACCTACTGGATTTTTTTAAAAGCTGATTTGACGGGCAGAGATGGCCTGTGTGTTGGTTCACTCTCCAGATGCCCACAACAGATCAGACTGAAGCCAGGAGCGGGGAACTCAGTCTGGGTCTTCCACATGGGTGGCAGGGCCCCAGCTGCTTTGAGCCATCACCTGCTGCCTCCTAGGACGTGCATTAGCAGGAGGCTGGAACAGGGAGCTGAGCAGGTGCCCATGCAGGCACCCCAGCATGGGATGTGGGTGACCCGAGTGGTGTCTTCACTACGACCAGTGCCCCCGTGTGCTGAATGCTTGTAAGCATGGTGCTGTAAATTGGGGAAAGCAGGGCCAGTGTGGCGGAGGGGACCTGGGGGACTGTGTGGCTTGTGGAGTCAGACTTCTGCTTCCTTCCTCTCCAGGTGTCAGCTTCCTCTGCTGCAGCCAGCAAGTCGCTCAGCATGAACCCCGCAGAAGCCAAGGTAAGGGAGCCTTCCGGGGTCCACTTGGGCGAATGCGACTTTACGCTGATCATACTGTGAAGCAAATCAAACGTAGACTGGGGGCCGGCGCCGCGGCTCACTAGGCTAATCCTCCGCCTAGCGGCGCCGGCACACCGGGTTCTAGTCCCGGTTGGGGCGCCGGATTCTGTCCCGGTGCCCCTCTTCCAGGCCAGCCCTCTGCTGTGGCCAGGGAGTGCAGTGGAGGATGGCCCAGGTGCTTGGGCCCTGCACCCCATGGGAGACCAGGAAAAGCACCTGGCTCCTGGCTCCTGCCATCGGATCAGCGTGGTGCGCCGGCCGCAGCGCGCCGGCCGCGGCGGCCATTGGAGGGTGAACCAACGGCAAAGGAAGACCTTTCTCTCTGTCTCTCTCTCTCACTGTCCACTCTGCCTGTCAAAAAAAAAAAAAAAAAAAAACGTAGACTGGGGTAGGCACATGAGTTTGTGGCCCAGGAAGCTTCGGTTATGGGAATAAACATTTCCTTCCTGGCCTGCAGGGGTCTTTGGAAACTCGGCTTTCCAGGGTTCACCTGAGACATCACCCGTACACTTGTACATCGGTCAAGGGCGAGCAGTCACCCAGAGGTTTTGTTGGCCCTAGACTTGAGTGTTTTCAATTGAAGATAATCTCTGCAAGTATGCTTTTCCTGAATCAAAATGAAAGCAAAGTCTTGCTAAAATGGTTGTATTATTCTAGACGTTTAAAACCCATTGTAAAAATGAGAAAGGTGTTGTAGGAATTGAACCTGGGGAAAGAATGAAATAGAAGCTGGTTATTTTGGATGCCTCCGGAAGTCTCTCTCTGAAATCTAAGTCAAGTGGGGGTACCATCTGATTGACAGCCCTTCATCCAGCTCTCTTTGGGACTTACTAATTATTTTATGGCATTTCAGAAAGAAAATAAAAGACTGTGGTTGCCACGTAGGGTGAGCCCAGCTCTGAACCCTCCCCCTAGTTACCATGTTATCCAGGCTTGATGCTCGGAGGGGTTTCAGGGTGGGACATTTTAAAGAAGGAGCATTTTCAAAATGCTCTCAAACCGTGCTTGTGAGTTAGCATTCCTCAGTGCCTTTAAGAGCTAGCCCAGCTCTGTTATTGTTAAATTGTTCTTGTTTCTATTGTTCTCTGGCTGCCGTATTTCTATAATGTCCCGGTGGTTTCCACCCCAGGGGATAGGGCACCATAAGTTAGTACTGTGCGTGGATTCTTGGCCCCATCTTGAACAGTTTTCCTTGAGTATTGCATGATTTGGAAGGATGCTATCTGTTTATCTAAACTCTTGAAATCCTTTAGCATTCATTTTAATTTTTTCAAAACTGTTATTGAGAGGCAGAGAGGGAGACTAATGGAAATCTTCCATCCTCTGGTTTACTTCCCAAATGCCCACAGCAGCCGGGGCTGGGCAGAGCTGAAGCCCAGAGCCTAGAGCTCCATCCTTGTCTCCCATGTGGGAGGCTAGGACTCAAGTACCTGAGCCTCCCAGGCACCTGCTGCCTCCCAGGGTGCATCAGCGGGAAGCTGGATCAGAAGCAGAGCCAGGACTGAAAGCCAGGCACTCCAGCGTAGGCTGGAGGCGTCCCAGGAGGCATCTTAACGCCGTTCAAGCACTTGCCCCGCATTTCAATTTTTATATTTTTCTTGAATCAAAAATTACATTATTGTGTATTTTTCATTTATATTGACTGTTTTCTAAAATATACATAATCCAAAATTTATTAGTTGTCACCACTTGTTTATATCACGCCTAATCTTTAAAACTCTTAATCCTTTAAAATCTTAACGGACCATAGAAGTATCTCCAAAAAGCAATTCTCGTTGAACTTAGAGCCCATGAAAACTAAAAGATACAGAAAGGAGAGCCATAAATAGAGGATTTCTTTTTATTCTCTTGGTTTCCTTTTAAGCCGCTGCCTAATTCGAATACCCTGTGGCTTAGCTTGAAGACCAGCGTGCCCTGTTTCTATAGCAAGTGTCAGCAGCCCCATCAGCCATCAGTTAGCATTACTCATGGGAATTTCTGGCAGTCCTCTGGGTCAGGGGAAGGGAGAATCGTAGGAGAGAAAGAGACCAAAATAAGATGCACGTAGTGCACGGTCACCAGGCTGACTCGGGACCATGTTTGGCCTGGAGTGTCTCTCCTTGGTGGAATCCAGTCCCACTGTTCTGATTAAACTCCTTCTCTTCTGCGTGCCAGTGTTTGGCTCCGCACAGTTACACTAACCAGCTGCCTCTTGGAGATGCTCGTGAGCTTCATGAGCTCATGCCTCCAATTAATTGAGCTTTGAAGACGGACGCTAATTCAAGATAATACCCATCCCATATCCTGACATGTTCTATACCTTCCAAATAAAAGGCTAGCTCTCAAGGGGCATGGTATGTCTCAATCAATGTTTTTTTAGGATTCACTTATCTTTGACAGGCAGATGTACAGAGAAAGAGGGAGAGACAGATAGTTCATCTACTGGTTCACTCCCCAAGTGACTGCAACAGCCAGGCCTGGACCAGGTCAAAACTGGAAGCCAAGAACTCCAAGTTGGTGTCTAGCACTTGAGCTTATTTGCCTTTCCAGGTGTGTTAGCAGGGAGCTGGATTGGAAGTGGAGCTGATGCTCTGATACGGGATGCTAGTATTGCAAGCAGTGGCTTAACCAGTCAGTGTTCCGTATCTCTTGGCCCAGAACATTAGTCAATTGGTGGTCACCCTGCTGGTGTGAGATGGAAGATCAGATCACTCCTAGTCAGGCTGACTTCCATGGGGGACCGAGGATCATAGTACGGTAGCCAGTCTGACTCGGAGCCTGGTTCTATGCTGACTTTAACGTTGGGTGGCCTACTTTGCTTCAGATTCTTTATCATGTAGTTTGGAGGAAGGTGCTAATAGCAGCTATCTCACAAGACTGTAAGGCGCATGTATTGGACAGTGGCTGTCCCACAGCAGATGCCCAGTAGAGTGGGCTGTTGACCAATAATGGAGAGAGAACAGAGCAGAAATTGAGAACACAAAACCCCAGGACCATCACAGGTATCTTTGGGAAGTCGCTTAAATTCTTTAACCTCAATTTCTCACCAGGAAAATGATAATAATAGCTTTTTTTTTAAAAAGATTGATTTGAAAGGCAAAGTCACAGAGAGGGAAGTAGAGATAGAGCTTTTCCACCCACTGGTTACTCCCCGAATGGCTGCAATGGCAAGGGCTGTGCCAGGCCAAAATCAGGAGCCAGGAACTTCTTCCAGGTCTCCCACGTGGGTGTAGGGGCCCAAGCACTTGGGCCATCTGCTGCTGCTTTCCCAGGAGCATTTGCAAGGAGCTGGATCAGAAGTGGAGCAGCCAGGAATTGAACCGGTGCCCATATGGGATGCCAGTACTGCAGGCCACGGCTTAACCTGCTGTGCCACAGTGCCAGCCCCAGTAACAGCTTTCTTACAAAGTTACAAGGGCTGAATTGACATAAGCTTAAAATGGTTTCTGGCAGCAAACAGGTGATAGGCATTAGTTATTGTTATCACTATTATGTTCAGTGCCACCACTACTGGGAATAAATTTAGTGATTACCTGATTAAATGCATATTGCATTATTGCATTATAGGCTGCTGAGTCTGTGAGCATCCATCAGTAATTGTGCTGTAGAGTCCCCCCCCCCCCCCCAAATTCTTGTTTGCCATATTTCAAATTGGGAGCTATTAATAGACTCCAACCACGACAATACCAGTTGGCTTACTTATTATTTAATTATATTTGCATAAACTCAAAAGCAGATAGTTGCAAGAACAGAAACTCCTTAGCAAGGATGCGGTGAGAAAGGATCCAAAACTTTAAAAAAAATTCTCCTAAAAACATTTCTTTGGGAAGGAAACCAAGTTCATGAACAAACTAGTAAGCACAAAACAAGATAAATTAAGAGGATATTTGACTTTAACAACAGGAGTCACTGTGCACTTACTCCTCATGTAGGATCTCTGTCCTTAATGCGCCCTACATTGAGGCTTAATGCTATAATGAGTACTCAAGCAGTATATTTCACTTTGTGTTTCTATGGGGGTGCAAACTGTTGAAATCTTTACTTAATGTATACTAAACTGATCTTCTGTTAAAAAAAAAAAAAGAAGAAGAAATTAGCAATTCCCAACTTGACTCTCGCTGGGATTAAACATGACAATAGGTCTGATCTGATTTCATCATCATTTAAAAAATCATCTATTTTTCACTTTATGTTTCTGTGTGGGAGCAAACTGTTGATCTTTACTTAATGTATGCTAAACTGATCTATATATAAAGAGAATTGAAAATGAATCTTGATGTGAATGGCAGGGGAAAGGGAGTGGGAAAGGGGAGGGTAGCAGGTGGGAGGGACATTGTGGGGGGGAAGCCATTGTAATCCATAAGCCGTACTTTGGAAATTTATATTCATTAAATAAAAGTTAAAAAAAAAAGAGGATATTTGACTTTAGCCTGTTTAGGTAATAGAATTAAAAAAAAGTAGAATTTGTGCCAATAGTGCCAAGTAGATAAAAGGGAAAGAAATGACAGAAAACCTTAGACTGAGTTTTTCAAAGATATGAAATTCTTCAAACCTTATTTCAGTTTCTTACCCACAGGGAGGGCGCATGTATATACTTAAAGAATTGTCCCTTTTTTTTTTTTTTTCTCACAGATAACTTTGGGTTGGGTAACCAGAACTATGTAAAATGTTACATGAATCATCCTAAAATCCAGCCACTTCTTTGGAAGGATTCCTAGAACTTTAGATTAAGCCTATACAGCATGTACCCTAAAAACCCACACACTGGATGTTTACAAAGTTCTTTGAAGATTGTGTTGACAGACTTTCAGGAGACTTTTGACAACATCTGTGACTATTTTTCACCATAACCAAACACTGGGAACAGAGGCGGGAAAATACGACTCAGGTAGCCACTGCACAGAGAAGGAAGGGAAGGGGAAGGAGTCAGATGTTAATGTCATTGATAGCTGCCTTCACTGAACAATATAAACCCAAACTAATATTTGTGTGGGACTCAAGATTTTAAGTGCCTGCAACTTGTAGGCACTTACACAGGAGGTTTTCAAAAGCCTCATGGAGAATGTGTAATAGGAATAAGCTATGCAAGTTGTTTTGTTTGTGTTTTTTGTTTTTTTTAACTACACCAAAATATCCATATATTTTAATTCCATCTGTTGTGAACTTTGTGAAGCAGCCTCAGATGCAGATGTATTGTAGCCACCATGGATGAGTCAAGTAGATCTTTGCATGTTTATTCCTTTAGCCCTTCTTATACATGTTACTTGTTTGACTGTCAGACAACAAAATTACACTCAGGGCTGTGCTCTTAACATTAGGCCGTTCCAATCAGCAAAGAGATGGAAGGACCACATCCTCATAGCAAGAAAAGACACAGAAGACAGGTGAAGTGTGTCTCGCATTGGGCCCTCTCTGCTTACTAATGGTCACCTCGCTGACCCCTCCCACCCTATCACAAGCTTTCTATAGGCCCAGCCACCTGTCAGTCACATGCTAGCACTAAAACATGATTCACTGCTTTCTGTGTTCTGTCATCATCCCATTATTTCAGACAAAACCTGTGGTGAGTATTTGATTAAAAAGATCCTGGTAATGGCTTTGAAGGAGGAAGGCTTTTATTTCATGTGCTTGTTAACTGCAATATCAGCTAATAAATTTTACATAATTTAATAGACAACACCAGAGGTAAGATGTCAGTTACAGCCTGAAGGGTAAGGGGTATTAAGTATGCTTATCAAAAGGGGGACAGTTCCATGCAAAGTCAAACATAACTCACGAACTTTATAATCAGACATCGCTTCCTTTTTGAAGAAAACCTGCAATCTTTTGTCTTTTTTTTTTTTGTCCTCTTCATTTAGGATGCTAAAACAGAACCTGAGAAGTCACAATCAACTAAGGTAATGATTCAAGTCTGCTAGTGGGTGATTCAGAATCCAATAATGATGAATAACCGGGCTGCTACATAGGTGCTGCTGAGCGAGGGGGTTATCAGCAGATCTAGTTTCTTGGACTACCTTTCTGAATATGACTGTATAGAGTAGTATAAATAAAATACTTAGCAGATTAAACCGATATATGATCTTTTAAAATATGTGAGGTTTTATACATGAAAACAGTAGGTCTGAGAAGGCATTTTGTCCAAATCCAGATGTGTTATAGGGGAGCAATTGTTGAAACAAAACAGAGGAACGGGGCAGGAGAGGAGGGCATTGAATGTGGTGACAGTTCCTGGGAGGCAGCAGGAGCCGTGTGGGGAAGGTCTCGCCAAGGAGGCTGTGAGTGCATCCCGCCGGTCCCACCTGGGTTGCTGGACCCGTGTCCGCTGGCTTGGGGCTGAAGTCCAGTTAAATGCAGGAGGGGCAAGAGGTGAGGTTTGTCTGATTTTGCGCGAGGCCCCCTGGTGGCCAGTGCGGATAGTAGTTGCTCAGTGCAGTCTAAAGTGAAGACTCCGGCAGTTAGGGTGCAAGCTGGCGTGTAGTCCCCCCGCCCGTGCCCTGGCCGTCCATCACGTGTCGGGAGAACGGGGCTCCTGGTGGTATGATCTCCTGTACTTGGAGCAACCTGTACCTCGCGACACTGAAGAGAAGGCAGCGTTCTTTGTCTCCTGGGAAAGAAGACTTCCGTTAATTTCTAGGATGGGGTTCCCGGTCACAGTCAGCTGTCACGCTGATCGTTTGACGTCTCTGTAGACAGGCGTGCGGTGAGCAGTTCATCTGCACGCATCCTGAAAAACAGTACTGTAGAGAGACGCACGTCTCTGCAAACATCATTCTGGATAAAACGTTGATCTTACATTTTCTCCTGATAATCGCCATTAGTGGAGGTGGTTAGTAGGTTATTGTGGGCCGCGCGGCTCATGCCTGCCCCTCTGGATCTGAAAGAACTGGCCTAAAGGGACTTGTCCTGAGAGAGGCAGAGGGACCTCGTCGGGACTTTGTTCTTGAGCCTGGCTGGAGCTATGGAAAGCCTGGACTCCTGTGTGTCAGTCACTGAGTTTCTGATCATTTAAACTTGACAGCCACCTGTGGATCATGAAAAGAAGGCCCAGGAAGGAAAGCCAAAGGAACACACCAAGGTGAGCGAGGGTGGCCGGGACTCAGGGTGGTGGGGGACAGCTCCAGGCGTGGTACAGGTAAGAGCTCTCACATTTCTGACCAATCCCTGCAGGATGGCTGGGTGGTCCGTGTTTGGTTTTGTTTTGGCTAAAACGTTGCCAGTGTGAGGCAATCCTGGTGTTTATATGTTACTCCGTGGTTTGTGTAGATTTCGGGGATGGAGGATTTGCACTATTTAAAATGTCCCTAAAGTGAATTTTTTTTCACATTGGCATCACACTCGTTTAGATTTGCAGAACTCAAAACCATAAGCAGTACTACTGTTGTAGTTTTTCCTCTATATGGAAAAAGTGTGTTCTGTTTAAAGCAGCCGTGTTAACAGCATTTCTCTCTCTCTCTTTGTGTGTGTGTGTGTGTGTACATATGTGTGTGCTTTCAGCCAAAAAGCACACATAAGCATGCATCGGATGGAGAAGGCAAGCATGGTCGTAATGAAAAGACAGCTTCCAGATCGAAGGAGCCAGTGACACCGGCGAAAGCAACAGAACCAGAGGTAAAGAAGGCAGGGCGACAGACAGGGAGACACACGTCAACCAGCCAATTCCATACGGTTCCCTGCCCACGTCGTATGGTACTGAATCGTGGGCTGTGCTGCAGTGACTGGGTGCTGTCAGATGGTGGGTTTTGCAAACAGCTTGTGGAAATCGGGCTTGGCAAGGGCATCAGATGGGTCTTGGAGCACACTGTCCCCCTCCTGCCAGTGCCCCGCGGTGACCAGCCCCCACCCACAAGGCAGGAGGCTCTAGCATCTCACAGATGGGAATCCTGGGAGGGAGGCTGCCCCCCCAGACCCCTCTGCACTTGGGCCAGGGGAAGGGTGCCCTGCTTCATCTGGGTCTCCAAGTGGAAGTCTACAAGGTTTTAGAGGCTTGCAGAGGGAGAGAAGAGCTTACGGGCTCCCAGTCGGGGATTGATTGCACAGTTCCACAGTTAACTGTCTAGAAGAGCTTTCTCCCTGAGCAGCCATGGGAGGGAGCGGGTAGGCCTGTAGGCCTGCTTCACCAGGGTCTGCATGCCAAGCCCACACACCTGTGCATCCACGTGTGTCTATTGCTTGTTTGGCTTACAGTGGTATTAACGTTATTTTTTTAAAGGTGTCTTTATTTGAAAGGCAGAGTGGCAGAGAGGGGAACAGAGAAAGATTTTCCATCCACTGTTTCTTTGCCCAAGTGGCCACAATGGCCAGAGCTGGACCAGACTAATGTCAGGAGCTTCTTCCAGGTCTCCTACGTGGGTCGCAGGGGCCCAGGCACTTTGGCCATCTTCTGCTCCTTTCTCAGGAGCATTAGCAGGGAGCTGGATCGGAAGCAGAGCAGCTGGGACTGGAACTTGTACTCTGTTACAGCATACTGGTATCATAAACGGTGGTTGAACCCACTGCTTCACAACACTGGCCCTAAGAATTATTTTTAATTGCCAGGAATTAAAATCAGAATATTTTTTCACATAGGATCCTAACTTCTAGCTTCTCTTGACGTGGACTATCTAGCAACAGTGGGCTCACATGGCTGCATTTGGCTGGAGCCACCACACCTGGTGTTTGTGCTAGTTTTACCACAGTGCCTTCTCGGCCTGAAACACCTGTTCACGTTCCCTGCACGGTCCCTGTCCAGCATCACGTGGTCCCCAGCATTGTAAGAAATGCAGCGGAAGCCAGTAAACCTCTCTCTCCCATTGTGTCCCCCGGGCAGACTGGCAGGTGTTGGTGACATTTGAAACTCGCCAGCTGGGTAACAGTCACTCAGACTTAGCCTTGTCCATACTCCGTCCCCACTCCTAGACTAAACCACAGGACACGAAGCCCGCTGGTGGGAAGAGCGTCGCTGCTGGGACGACGGCAGCACCTGGCAAAGCAGGCGACCCGGTGAGTAGTGAGGCAGTGGAGATGTTCACACGGCGCGTGGACCCGGATACCTTATCTGCTGTTGCTGGGCAGCGCTTAGAGCCGAAGCTTTATCAGCACCATGCATTTAAAGGGCATGGAGTGGATAAGACGTCCGCATGATTTTCAGATTCCAATGGGCAGTAAACACTTACTGAGCGCTGGCCAGGGGCCAGGATGAGGCCTTCCGTCCACACCGAGAGTCGGGGCGCGAGCTGGCTCAGATCCGGCCTCTCGTGCGTCTGGGGGTACTAAATAAAGCAAGTGAGACTCCCATGAGCGCGCGAGTCGGCATTCCTCTCGCCTTCAGCCTTGACCCCAGCCATGTCGATTCTAGAGAATCGCCTTGCGTAGTGACGTCAGCACGGTTTCCCAGGAGGCCCCGCAAGCCCTTCCAGAGCATGCGCCGTGCGCGTTGGGCCCATCGGTCCCCGTGTGGGAGGAGCGGCTTCGCCCCCGGGGCTGGGCACGTGAGGTGCACGCCTTGGCCTGGTGAGAAGACGGAAATGGAAGTGAGGGGAAGCATGAATACTGACGCATAGTCCCGCCTAGTGTAGCAGGGATGAGGGGACGCATAGTCCCGCCTAATGTAGCGGGGACGTGTCCCCCCCGCCACAAGCCCGATGCTGAGGGAAGTCCTGGGAGAAGGGGCAGTCGGCACGTGTTCCTGGAGCATCAGGGTCCCCTGCACACCTCATTGTGTCTGCACTAATGCAGATCGCCTTAAAGACGAGCATTTTTACAAAACATGCCAAATGAAAATGCCCAGCATAAAGATGCTGCTACAGATCTCTTGTTTCCTGGCACCCTCTCTTCATGTGATGAATGGGTGGAAAAATGGATGCTTTTAGACAGAGGATTGGCTATGCTAGAATAGATTTTAAAATGCGAAAAATGAAATTTAAGGTATAAATCAGCCGGTATTTTTTTATGTCTGGTTTCACGTTTTGTTTTCATTTTATTTGGAAGCAGAGGGGCGGAGAGAGAATGGAGGAGGGGACCAGGCAGAGATCTTCAATCCGCTTGTTCACTCCCCAAATGTCTGCAACAGCCAAGGCTAGGCCAGGCCAAAGCCGGGAGCCTGGAACTCCCATTTGGGTGGCAAAGACCCAAATGCTCGAGCCATCATCTGCTGCCTCCCCGCGTGCACATTAGCAATCGGCTGGGCCAGAGCCAAGGAGTCAGAACTCAACCTGGGCCCCCAGGACAGGGTGCAGGCATTCCAAGGGGCAGCGTAACTACTGCACCATATACCTGCCCCCTTCAGGAAGTTTTTAAATTTTCATTTTATTTGAAAAGCATAGAGGTAGGTAGACAAAGAACTTGGATCACTCCCCAGATAGCCACAGCAACCAAGGCTGGACCAGGACAAAGCCGTGAGTCCCAGAACTCAATTCAGGTGTGCCACATGGGTGGCAGGTACCCAAGTACCTGCGCCAACGTCTGCCTCCCAAGGTGTGCGTTAGCAGGAAGCTGGATCAGAAGCAGGGACTTGAATCGGGCACTGCTGTATGGGATGCAGGATTCCCAGGTGACGTCCTAACTGCTGGCCCCAAACGACTGCCCCACGTGAGCCGGGGTTGTCGGCGGAAGCTGAAGGGTAAAACCCAGAGAGGGCTTGTGTAGAATTCTGTTGTGCGCTCACTTGGCCAGAGCTCGTGGCAAATCATTTCACTTTTCTTGCCTGGGATTCTTCTGCCGTTCCGTAGGATTGATCAGCTCTGCCTCATTTCCGTGCCCAGTGTGCTTGAAGCCCGACAGCTAACTCTGCAGGATGTGCTGGCTTAAAGCCAGTCCACCTTGGCACGGGGAGAAGACAGTAGCGGTGGCACTGTCACTCAAGGCAGACTAGCAAGGCCCCCACGGGGACCTGTTGGGTGAGACGGGAGGGTTTCCATCTGATCCAGGGGCTCCACCAAGGCCTTGAGAAAGCAGCTCCAGGATGGAAGGAGCCCTGTAGGATGCAGGCTTGCAAACACGATGGAGGTGTTGAAAGGTTTAGGATGTGTTCTGGGCCCAAGGTGTGTTCTAGCACTGGGGGTGGTGCGTGGTGGGGCCACAGGAGCAGAAAGATGGGGGAAGGCGCTGAGGAGTTAGTGCAGGTAGAGCTTCAGCTGCCGAGATGCTAGAGAGCGAATGGAGTGATGCCCCTGGAACCGCTGCAGTGGGAGCCGGGTGGACCTGGGGCGGCCGAGGCCAGGGTTGGGTGGGTGAGTTGTCAGTCAGTCCATTAGCCTGCATTAGAGCTGTGATGGGCAAGAGGCGCTAAAGGGGTACAGTCTTGAGGTTTGGGGAAGCAATTGGCCAACTTGGGCAAATGCCAAGTAAAATCTAATCTGGGGCCAGAGTCAGGTGGAACTGGCTTGGTCAACCTCTGCTAAGACAAGGGAGGCACCCTGGGTATGAAATTTAAGGAGGAGCTCAAAGTCAGGTTTGTGCATGTGCCAGGTGAGTATGTGAGAGTCGGCGCCTCCTTAAATTGTGAGCCCACACCTTCAGTCCCGCCTGTGAGTCCCTGCTCACATTTGACAGGCGGACAGAAGAGGAATTTGGGAGAAAGTTCAGTATATCTGATCCTGGACAGGCTGAATTGAAGTGTTAGACGTGTCCAGAGATTTTTCAGATTTATTTATTTGAAAGGCAGAATTAGGAAGAGAGAATGAGATCATCCATCTGCTGGCTCACTCCCCAAATGGCCTCAAAGGCCTGGGCTGGGCCAGGAGCTTCTTCCGGGTCTCCCATGTGGGTCACAGGTGCCCAAGTACTTGGGTCATCCTCCACTGCTTTCCCAGGCACATTAGCAGGGAGCTGAATCAGAAAAGTGGTGCTCCCGGGAGTTGAACCCATATGGGATGCTGGCACTGCGGGCCACGGCTTTAGCCGCCAGGTCGCAATGCCAGCCCCACCCCCCCAAGAAAGGTGTTTGGTAAGGCAATTAAAATATTGCCATGGGAACCAAATGGGAAGGCCCTGGAGAGGAAGGGAAAAAGGCTGAGCAAGCAAAGGGAGGGGCGAGGTGGGGAGAGCAGCTGAGCAGGCACATGTGTGAGCTGGCGGGCGGTGCTTTGCATCATGCAGCCTCAGGCTGGAGGGTGAAGGGTGGGGTGTGCCCTGCATTATCGGCATCGCAGTCCCAGCAGTCACTTCTTCAGCACTTAACTAAGGAGCAGGTCCTTAGGTATTGCTTACTAGCAAGTGCCGGACCCTGGTTTCCATGCACATCATTTACCGATTCATTTAGGTAGTCCTCCCAGTGCCTCAGGGAGGTGGGGTTCTCTTCCTTGCAGTGAAACCAAGGTGTAGCAGCAGCGCCTGCCAGGGGCTCGGGCAGCCACGTGTGTCCTGGTGGGTGTACAGACCTGGAGGCTTGAGGTGCGGGGGCAGACAGTCAGACGGTAACAGCCAGAAGTGGCAGCGACAGGGAGGATTCGTGGATGCTGCCAAGACTGGCCGTGTGCCCTGGAAAAGAACATGAAAACACGCCAGTCGTGCATTACGGTTTGGGCTGGGTCCCTTACTGTGTGATCTGGGAGAAGTTACTTAGTCTCTCTGAGCCCTGCTTCCCGCCTCCCTTTTCCAGCAATTCTGGGAAAGGATGCAAAGCCTACAGCATGGAGTTGGGCAGAGCAGGTGTTCAGTGGACGACCAGGACCAGTGCTCTGATCCTGTAACTTTGTTGTCAGTTACACCATCGTACTGAGTATTTAAGATATGCAAAGTTTTCCTTTCTTTCTAATCTCCCGCCAGAAGAAAGAAAAGAAGTCATTACCTGCTGCTGCTCTAGCTGAACCGAAGCCTGACGAACCGTCTGGAAAGGTAGGCAGAGAGCAGAGAACCTCGGGTGTCCCTATCCTCCGCGTGCTCTGTATTCATTGCATTCTGACATCTGGCAGGCAGGCCGCACCAGGGGGCCCTTAAAGACCATTTTCACAAACTGTTGTTCCAGGCTACTGTGACCAGGCTGAAGTGTGGTTTCCACACAGACATTTTGTGTTATAACCACAACTCTGGCTTTATCCCGTGCTGTTTACCGTCATCAGGGACATGGTCCCCCGTTCTAAGTCCTGAAACCTCAGCCCCCTTGTCTCCTGCCGGTACAGCTTCTCTAGCCACTGCTAGTGCTAAGGAACCCCAAAATCCTCTTACTCTGAAATTCCCGCAAGTCTCGGATTTCGCATTCCACCTGGCACACCCACAGCTGGGTGAGTCCGAAGATTATTGCAGGATCGAGAACTCAGACGCTGTAAACGACCCTTTGTCATCGAGTCACAACACGGCATGTAGACTCCTGTTCACAAAGAACCAGTCCTAGGCTTTCTCTCTCTCATCACTAGGGTTTCGGCCCATTGTGACGGAAGCAACTGCCAGTTCTAAGTCTCCACACCTCTTTCAGGTCCTTTCTGTTTCGTGAACATCTTCACGGAGCAAGTGAGCAAAAGATCATAAACAATACAAAGCAATACATTTTTAAAGATATTTCCTTATTGGCCGGCGCCATGGCTCAATAGGCTAATCCTCCACCTAGCGGCGCTGACACACCAGGTTCTAGTCCCGGTCGGGGCGCTGGATTCTTTCCCCGGTTGCCCCTCTTCCAGGCCAGCTCTCTGCTCTGGCCCAGGAAGGCAGTGGAGGATGACCCAAGTGCTTGGGCCCTGCACCCCATGGGAGACCAGGAGAAGCACCTGGCTCCTGCCTTCAGATCAGCTTGGTGCACCAGCCGCAGTGTGCCGGCCGTGGCGGCCATTGGAGGGTGAACCAACGGCAAAAGGAAGACCTTTCTCTCTGTCTCTCTCTCACTGTCCACTCTGCCTGTCAAATTTTTTTTCTGTATTGACAGAATGATGGGGGGGGGGTTTCCATCTGCTGGTTCACCCCCACCCCCAAGTGGCTGCAACAGCTGGGGTTGGTACAAGCCGGAAACCAGGAACCCTGCACACCATGCAGGTCTCCCACGTGGGTGCAGGGGCCTAAGCATTTGAGCCATCCTCTGTGTTTGAACTGTCCAAAGAAAGATTTTTATGATTTATTTATTTTAAAGGCAGAGTTAGGGAGAGAGGCGCATTAGTAGCAAGCTGGATCTGAAGTAGAACAGCCAGGGCTCACATCGGTGCTCCAATATGGGATGCCGGTGTCGCAGGCAGGGCCTTAACCACCCCTGTGCCACAGTGCTGGCCCCAGCAATCCTTTTGTGGTTTATTTATTATTTGGGAGTCCGAGTTACAGAACGAGAGGGAGAGACAGATCTTCCATCCATTGGTTCACTCTACAGCATCCGGGGCTGAATGAGGCCTACCAGGAGCTTCATCAGGGTCTCCCACATGAGCACTAGGGGCCCAAGCACTTGGGCCAACTTCTGCTTTTCCCAGGCCATTTGAGCTGGACCAGAAGTGGAACAACTGGGACACGAGCCAGCACCCATATGGGGTGCCAACATTGCAAGCAGCAACTTAACCCACTATACCACAATGCCAGTCCCAGCAGCCCATTTTTTAAGGCATTATGTTTGGAAGAGGTGCTGCATTGAGCTTTATTGGGATTCTTGGTATAAAACTCTGGACAACTGTTGATGAGCAGCAAATGAGAAAGATTCTTCCTATTGATTATAGCAACATGGCCATACTTCCTTGAGCTCACTTTCTTTTCTCTTTTTACTGCTAGTTCACTAGACTGGCAGCTGTCTATTGAGCTTATGCATTTGTTGATGTAGTTGTTGCCTGCAGACTTGTTTTGTCTTTCCAACCCAGAATGTGTACTCTGAGGCTTGAATACCAAGGGTCTGTGAGAGACCGTATCTTACCTGTTGTGTGAATGATTTTGGAGTCTGGTATTTTGCTACATGGAAAGGGTTTTTTTTGTAGTTAAACGTGAGGTGTGCATGACATAGCACTGAGCTCCCTGCTGTGTGTCTCTTCCAGTCAGGCATGGATGCTGCTTTGGATGACTTAATAGACACTTTGGGAGAGCCCAGCGAAACCCAAGAAGATTCCACAGCTTACACCGGACCAGAAATTTCAGTATGTGGTCTTGGTATCTATAAGAATTCGTACTCGGTGGTCAGGAGAACGAAGACCGTGATGGCTGCAAAGGCTTAGTTTTCTGAGCGCAAGATTTCGGTGCAGTGGACTTGACAATGTGTTGACTCCCAGATGTTTGCCGTTTTATGACTGGAGTTAATTTTGATTTCTCTGATTACAACCCTCAGTTCCTCCCTGTTCCTAATTCTTAAAAAGGTGGGAAATAGTATCTTCCCCAGTATTAAGAAGACACATCATGGACTCGATCAAAACTTTTGCAACAGATAAACAAAGGATTTGTTTCTAGAATTTTTTTTAAAAAAGAGGAAGATAACAGAAAATTAGAACTTGATTGGTAAACAAGTAAAATAATAATCTTCCTGTTTATGAGGCAAGTGATATGAAAACAGAAACCACTTTGCACTCACCAGGCTGATAAGACTGAAAGTCTGACAGTTGCGGATTGCTGGTGTGCTGGTGGGTGATGAAGACATGCATCCCCTTAACAAGGATGTCTGCCGTGGGCGGGGGAGGGAGCGCTGGGAGGGAGCCTTGCCCAGGGGGGCGGCATCACGAGAACAAATGAGACACTGGAACCGATTTGGTCCAGAGGATAGGATATCCCAGTGCTCTATCGTGCATAAAATTGATTATTCATGGAGCAACATGGCTATGTTAGAAAAACCTAGTTATGAATAAAAGGTAATAGTGATAGTGATAGTAATGGGTAATTGGTACAGTATGATAACTGTTGATGTAGCATTTGAAGGTATACAGAGTAGTGCCATCTGTCTATGGGATACCTACAGATGTAATGAATGTTTGTGCTCAACTGTACATGGAAGGATACGATATGGTTAAAGTTCAGGGCAATGGCTGATGGGGTAGAAGGAGGAGGAATGAAGAGAGGGAAGAGATGTACAATTTGGGACATGCTCAAGCTGACTTGCCCCAAATGGTAGAGTTAGAAACATACCAGGGGACTCCAATTTAATCCCATCAAGGTGGCATGTACCAATGCCATCTCACCAGTCCAAGTGATCAATTTCTGTTCACAATTGATCATAATGAAAGGACTAAGAGTCAAAGGGAGCACATAAACAAGTCTAGTACCTGCTAATACTAACCGATAGAATAAATAAAGGGGAGAGTGATCCAACATGGGAAGCGAGATACTCAGCAGACTCATAGAATGGCGGATGTCCTAAACAGCACTCTGGCCTCAGAATCAGCCCTAAAGCCATTCCAATCTGGCTGAAAAGCCCATGAGAGTATTTCAGGCATGGAAAGCCAAGACACTCTGGCAAAAAAAAAAAAAAATTTTTTTTTTTTTTTATCAATTCCCAACTTGACTCTCACTGGGATTAAACATGACAATAGGTCTGATCTGATTTCATCATCATTTAAAAAATCATCTATTATTTTTCACTTTATGTTTCTGTGTGGTTGAAAACTGTTAATCTTTACTTAATGTATGCTAAACTGATCTTCTGTATATAAAGAGAATCGAAAATGAATCCTCATGTGAATGGGATGGGAGAGGGAGTGGGAAAGGGGAGGGTTGCGGGTGGGAGGGACGTTATGGGGGGGAAGCCATTGTAATCCATAAGCCGTACTTGGGAAATTTATATTCATTAAATAAAAGTTAAAAAAAAAAGGAGGAGGAATGGATTAGAGCTAAGCAGGAGACGTCAGCGCTGTGACTTTTCCCCCCCTGAGGTACTGAGTAGGAAATAACTGGATCTGATCGTATTGGTGCTGGGGAGATACAGAAGTTTGTGTTGTTAACTGTCCCTTTGGATGTACTAGGAACATTAGAATGAAAATACTTAATATATCTTTAATAAAGGAATCAACTTTAGTGTTTAGACTACTTCTGGCCCTCTGTCAGGTTACGTAATATTTAACTCATAATCCATATGTGGATTAAATGGTGGATATTTGTGTAAACTTAGAATTTCAGAATTTTCTATTGAATTCATAATGACTTTTATTTCTGTTTCATCTCAGTAGTTTCATAAATTAATGAAGGGATAGTGCTTTGGCTTTAGACTGCTCAGATAATAGGCTCAGTTAATTGATCCTTTACCACCCCTACATGTATGATTTTTTTTTTTTTTCCTTCCAGGATCCAATGAGTTCCACCTACATAGAAGAACTGGGTAAAAGAGAAGTTACAATTCCTCCAAAATACAGGGAACTTCTGGAGGTAAGTCTTATTTGACTATTTCCTTTTTGGAATATAATCTCATTCCAGTGTCTTCACAGGTTTGAACATTTAGAAAATACGTGTGCTATATACATAATAAAATAGAACGTGAAGCTCGGTCCTGGGGTGAGGTGCAGAGGTCTGAGGGAGGGAAGAGTCCTGTCTCTCCCTGGTGGAGGCTCAGGGCCAGAGTCCCGGTGTCTGGAGGGTTAGCGCCGCCTCTGGGATGCAAGGGAGGGATCCTGCAGGTCTCGCTCTTGGCTGTGTCTCCTCACATCCTCTTCCGCTCTACACACTCCCAGGTCTAGATTTCTCCTTTTCACAAGGGCTGTACCTCTGTGGGCTAGGGCCTGCCCTGAAGACCCTACCTTTGCTTGGTAACCCCTACAAAGGCCCTCTACGCAGTAGGGTTTCCTTCTGAGATAGGAGTCAGGATGTTAGCATGGGGATTTGGGGTGGGCTGGGGTTGGGGGACACAGTTCGACCCATCATGCGCTGGGCAGTGCCTTCTGCCAATCACAGGGATCAAGTCTGCCTTCTAAATGTCTCAAATTATTTGTTTCAGAAAAAAACAGGGGTTGCGGGGCCACCTCCAGACTCCGTGGTGAGTTGACGTGAATGTCTTTCCTGTCTCTGGTTGGAGGAGCAGGGCTGTCACTTCCGGGGGTGGGGGTGGGGGTGGGGGGGGCGGGGTTGGTGACGGAGGGAGGCCGCTTGCCTTTGCTGGGCTCCCAGCGTGCTTTCCCGCTGGTAAGTCCCGGGTGCTTGTGTCTTTAGACACCCTTGGGCCCCGACGATGCCATCGACGCCCTGTCGTCTGACTTCACCTGCAGCTCTCCCGTGGCCAGTGGGAAGGAAGCCGGGAAGGAGGCAGCGGTGAGGAGAACATGTTAGAAACCGTCTTGTGTGGGGCCGGCGCTGTGGCATAGTGGGCTGGGCCTCTGCCTACAGCGCCTCGTCCTATACGGGTTCCAGTTCATGTCCCGGCTGCTCGCCTCCCGATCCAGCTCTCTGCTGTGGCCTGGGAGGGCAGTGGAGGATGACCCAAGTACTTGGGCCCTGCACCCAGCCTGGGGACCCAGGGGAAGCTTCTAGTTTCAGGTCCGCTCAGTTCCGGCCGTTGTGGCTGTTTGCTGGGGTGAACCTTTCTGTCTCTCCCTCTCTCTGACTCTGTCTCTCAAATAAAAAAAGGTCTTAAACACAAGAAGAGAAAACAATGCTGCACTTCAAAGTGGTGACAGCTTATTCGTCCTGCTCCCATCCTCCTTCCCTGTAAAGCTGATCTTTGCTGTTTTTTATTCTCCAGAAATCTGCAGGAGAAGTTTTGGAAGCTGAGTCGGCCAAAGTCATGAGAGCTGCAGCCCCACCCCAGGAGAAGAAGAGAAAGGTGGAGGAGGTATAAATAATCCTTCCCTTGCAAACAGCCTGACGGTGCCGCTTTGGCCCAAGCCCAGTGGTGCTTTTCCCAGGAGCACCGTGGGCGCGTTCGGTCTACTGTGGACGTGGTATCGATCGCCTTCCCGCAAGCCTGCGTGTTTCTGTAAAGCACGTGTCAATGATGTAAGCCTAGGGTTCTCTGTTCCACCCCCCGGGGTGCTCTCGCCCTCACAGCACGCAGAACAGCAAAGACCAGACAAGTGGCACCTTTGGAACGTAAAGCCCAGTCTCCTAGGAGAGGGGGAGCCCCACAAATGACTGGAGGGTGTCGTCCCAACTGCCTCTGCCCTCTCAGCCACAGTCAACTGTGACCAAATTCTCAGAAATCCTCGGAGGAGGAAGTGAGCCCCACCTGCAGGCGGTCCAGATCAGCGCTGCTCCCGCCTCCCTCTCCGGGAGGGGACAGTGTTATCTGGTTCTGTCTGGCCTGCTGGGGGAGCAGGGCGGAGCTGTGGTGAGCGTCACGCCCCTCAGAGCGCCAGCTCCTGCACCCGTCAGCCCCTGCGTCCTGGGAGGAGAGGGGGCCGCGTGGGGCTTCCCCGCTGCCTGGGCTGGGCTGCCTGGCCAGGGGACAGGGTTTCTTAAGGATGGATTTTTAGAGAAAGGAAACTTGAGGTAGTGAAAGTTTACGACTTGCAGCTCTTACTCTGAGAGTGCTTTGCAGTCATTCGGTTGTGGGTATAGTTACACTTCTGGCTTGCTAAGTACGGGGTGACGTGTACCCAGGGAGCACTGTCACTCAGTAGAGACCTGTCCTGTCTTCAGTTTTCACTCTCCGGTAAGTTCTTTCTCCTTTCTTCTTCGAAGAAACTCGCCCTCCCAAAGTTCTTGCCCCACCCACGGCTCGCCTCCTGTTTTTCAAGTGTGTATTTCACAGAGAAGTCGGCGCATCATTCGGGCCCAGGAGATGTTCTCTGGTTTTCATGCACGGCATTTGTGTGTGTGTTTTTAACAGGATGCAATGAGCGACCAAGCACTTGAGGCTCTGTCGGCTTCGCTGGGCACCCGGATGGCAGAACCTGAGCTGGATCTGAGCTCCATCAAGGAAGTGGCCGAGGTACTGATCCTGGAGTCGTGTTCCGAGCATGTGGGTCTGCCGGTCTCAGGACTGCGCGCCTTCTGCATGTGTGCACGGCTTCTGCACAGCTGTTCTCTCAGAGCTGTCAGATGAACTCCCCTTCCCTCCGCCGTACTTTCTAAGTCTGAGCTTAGCTGTTTGTTGCTGGGTGGTGAGCAACCAACAGGCATATCTGAGTGCTCATCTTGTAACGTGTCTAGAGCTCCGGTGTTTAAAATGAACACCCAACTACTTTGTCGGAGCTTAAATGACACCTGACTCAAGCAGATAACGGGAGGCAGAGGCCTGGTAGAAGTGTGGTCTCTGCATTTTCCCATGGTTTCTGGGAGCTCAGTAAGAAGGAGGCCATGCAAAAGGAGGGAGGATCCTTCATCTGGAAGCGGGAGGAAAGAGGTGGAAATAGAATGGCTCTTAACTGGAGCTCCTGCACATTTCTAGAAGATGCTAATGAGTGTCTGTCTCTGAGATCCTTTGAAAGGCAGAACAGCAGTGGGGGAGGGGAGAGGGAGAGAGAGCTCTTCCATCCGCTCGTTCACTCTCCAGGTGGCCACAACAGCCAGGGTCTGGGCCAGGCCAGAGCCTGGAACTCAGTCCTTATCTTTCACATAGGTATAGGGGCTGCGCCCTTGGGCCATCCTCCGCTGCTTTCCTGGCACAGTTAGCAGGGAGCTGGATCATAAGCGGAGCAGCCAAGACTTGAACCAGAGCTCCCATGTATGATGCTGGCACCGCAAGCGACCTCTTGACCTGCTGGCCTACAACACCAGCCACTACCCTCGGAGATCTTAAGCCCTCTGAGCCAAAGCAAGCTTGTGTCCGGTGTAGCGGAGTTTTTATATGAAGTCAGTTTCTGTAGAATTTTCAGCTTGGTCCTCCAGCGGCAGAAAGAGGTGCTTGTGTCTGACGAGGGAGTGTCAGAGGCAGGTGGCAGCTAGAAACATGACCTGGAATCCTCAGGAGCCCCCCAGCCCCATCAGCTAGGAGGGGGGAGGTGGCCAGTGTTGCTGTCACAGTGCTCCCACCTCTGCTGTCACTTCCTGTTCCGCTTCGTTGCCATGGAGGAAGGGGGACCACCCTCACCCGGTGCAGCTCTCCCTAGTCTGGAACTGCCCTGGTCCAGGATGGGCCAGTTTGTGTCGTCGACGTTCCTGGAGGGCTCCCCGGCCAGGGTGTGGAGCGAGAAGCTCTGTGACGGAGAGCACACGGGAGCAGGGGAAGCCGTCTCTGTCCACCAGGACCAAGTAATGTGCCCAGGCGATGGCGGCTCTGACCGCCAGGCAATGTGTGTGGGTTCTTGGGTGGCTCGGTGGGGGCAAGGGGGTCAGGAGGCCAGTGCTGTGTGGTTGTGAGGGACCCGCACTTGGCACCATGCCCTCTACAGAGAATTGGGGAGATCAAGTAAGACAGTAAACATGGGAAGTGTAGATGTGATTGAAACTCCAGGACCGAGAGAGCCTTAGAGTGATGAACTCGGATAAGTACATGTAAAAAGGTGACATAAAAATGACTGACAGCGGAGCAGGCACTTGACCTGGTGGTTAAGATGCCACTGAGGCCACCTGCGTCTCATATCGAGGTGCCTGGGCAGGTGCCCTGGCTCCACTCCTGACTCATCTGCTAGTGTGCAGACCTTGGGAGGCAGCAGCGATAGCTCAGGAGTTGGGTCCCTGCCACCATGTGGGAGACCTACATTAAGGTCCAGGCTCCTGGCTTTGGTCTGACCCAACCTGGCTAGAGTGGGCTTTTGGAACGTAAACCAGGGGTGGGGGATTCTCTCGCCCGCCCGCCCTCTCTCCCTCCCTCAGTTGCTCTGCCTTTCAAATAATGATCTCTCGCCACTTTGAGATGTGGTCCCCTGATGCACAGCCTTTTCGGTTCAGCAGGTGTATTTGTTCTCTGTGCCTGCTGCAAACAAACCAGGTCACGCAGGCGTTTTGGGGACACGAAGCTTAGATGGGAAAAGCAAGGAGCTTGCTGTGCTTGACACTGTCCACAAGCCCGAGTGTTGTGGGGAGGACAGCCTCATCCGCAGAGGCCCTGGACACGCGTGAGACTGTGAAGGCTGGGGACCCCGCAGAGCCCCTAGCCATGGAGATCCCCTGCACAGCAGGTTTTCCTCTGGGTGCCATGTCGGCCATCCCTGGGGACTGTTACCTTGCCTCTGTGTGCAGTGTCGGCCGGCACTGGGACTGTTAAAGAAGCAGGAAGAAAGTTCTTGCTTCAGTTGGAAAACAGAACTGGTTCCAAAGCCTAGGGTGTGCCTGACTCGTTAAGTGGGCTCAACAGATACTTTTACATTGATCAGTGAACTAGTGAACCCCATGGATTGTGATCCCGTCCCTGCCTTGATTGAGGCACGAATGAGTACGTGTTGGAGCCCCACGCCTCTCCGCAGTCCTTTAAATTGCAGGTGTTACGTCCTGCAAGCAGACCCACTGTGATCTACGCTCTGGCTTCTAATGAAGTTCATTGTAAATGGTTTGGTAGTCCAGGGAAATCCTGGTGCTACTGGAGGTTTTCCTGTTAAAAGAGGTACACCCAGTTATGTACGCGTGGACCCACAGCCAAGACTTACAGTGAACGCTTCTCCCTCCTTGTCATCTGGGTTTTGTCGTGTTCTCTCTCCCCTTCTCAGAGTAAGATGGAGGCTCCTAAAATAATGACAGCTAACCCCTCGCTGTGCTGCCTTTTCCATAGCTGTTCTCCCTGGTCTTGTGTTTGTGGTGGACAAAGCTCTTCCAGACACTGCCGTGGAGTTGGCCTTGTCTGCGACACCAGGATGTACACAAAGAAAGTGGCGTCTCATTGTATGTGTGTTGTCCATCTGCTCTCTCTGTCTCTCTCCACTTTGACCAGGCGAAAGCTAAAGAAGAAAAAGTAGAGAAGTGCGGTGAAGATGATGAAACCGTCCCAGCCGAGTACAGACTGAAACCAGCCACGGTCAGTTGAAAGCCCGGTGCACAGCAGCCACACACTCGCCTTGACCCTGGGTACCGGTGCCCTTGACCCTGAGGCGTGTCTGCCCCAGCTCAGATCCTAGCCCCGAAAACCCCGGGCTCTCCTCTGCCCCTGACACCTGGAGGGTGGTTTGCCCCTGCCTGGCTCCCTGCTTAGTGGCCGTGCAGCCCTCACAGACCCCACAGAGTCACGGGTCTCGAGTGTTGAAGGACACTTGCTGTGGATGCGTCAGCTGAAAGCTGAAGGCAGGATTTGGGGATGGTTGTTTCTGTCGGGTAGATGAAGGCATCGCTGTGCTCGGCTGTCTGCCAGGCTCCTTGGTTAAGGCTGTTGTGTTGTGTTGTGCTAAGGATTGAGAATCTGAGATCATGCATACAAACACAGGGTGGCTACTTTGGTGTTTGTATTTATGCTTGTACATGAAAAGCTTTTCACTCTCAGAAGTGCTCTAAACTGTGGAACCTCAGATCCAGAAAGCTGAAGAGTATTACAGCCGTGCGGTCTGCAACCTCACCGGGGTGGAGAATTGAGACTTCCTTAAAATCTTTGATTAACCAAGATGTGCCTTTCTTGCCAGTGAACTCATTTTTTTTTCTTTATTCTGTTGCTGTATCAAATGGATGGAAAAACTGGTTTTTTTGTTGTTGTTGTTAATTTTTAAAAAGTAAACCTGCATCGTATTTGGTAACATTTGGTCTCTTGGTATTTACAGCTCAACTTCTTACTCTGATTTTTAAAAAGTAAATCTGAAGCAGAAATTCACTCCAACATAAGAAAAGAAATAGGCGTCCCTCTCATATCTTGGAATTCCTCCCCAAACAGCTGAACAGATATGAAAGCAAAATTTCTTGTTGCATTTCCAGTGAATTTTCCATTTCATCCACAGGATAAAGATGGAAAACCACTGTTGCCAGAGCCTGAAGAGAAACCAAAGGTTGGAAAATGAGTTTTTTTCTGATCCTTAAAAGCCAGTTGGGAGGTCAAGTATAGATTAAGATGGTGCTGGCCAACCTCATTCTGAGGAGAGGGGCGCCCCTGGTGGCCACACTGTGCTGATCAGCAGGCTCCTTTTCCTATATTAGTCAGTTTCCTTGTGAGGTATATGGACCATTAAGTTTCTAGGTAACAGTCATTGAACATGAGGCGTGAATATCCAGAGGACCCTGTAGGTTAGCTCAAGGTGCCGCTTAGGGCTGGAGCCCCATCGCAGCATCAGGTGCTCTGAAGAGCCCATGTTGCCTGTATTTAACTTGGTGGCACCAGCAGTGACTGTCACAGTGGTGCTAACCCGCAGCACTCACCAGCCACTGAGCGTCCAGTTCCACGCCAGATGGTTTTGCACGTCATCCCTGAGTCCAGGGTGAGTGAAGAAGACGTTGTTCCCATCTTGTAGTGAGGGGCTGAGACACGGGACGGGTCACGTGGATGGCCCAGAGGCTCGCTCCAAGGCCATCCGTGCTGGGCCAGCTGCTGCATCAAGCGCCCTGCGGCCAGGGTGACAGGGGTCATACGAGACCTCCACTGCCACAGACTAGCAATGCCACCAGCCCTGAGAGGACCAGGGAGGGTAGGCCTCTCCTGCCCAGACCCCATGTGTCTGCGGGAAGGGAGCAGGTGATCTGCGCTTCCTGCGACTTGTTTTGGAAGGGAAGACCTCAGGAAGCAGAAAGATGGCAATCTCAAAAACTATCCGGATCTTCACGGAGAGAACAGTATTTCATTTAAACAAAGACTCCTCTGACTGAAGTAGCGGGAAAACCTTTGACTACACCGTTGCCGCCTTGTGGTGCAGAGGTTGTTTGATATTACTTACCTGTTGCACGACAGTTTTATCTTACATTAGTAAGTGCAAAGTGTGCCCTATATAGATTAGCTTTTGGTTTTAGAAGAAATCTTAAAATATGGTCTAAAATATGTGTTACATAGGAAATAAAATTTGTTCTTACACTTTTTACTTTTAAAAAATTCTCTTCATAATTGGCAGTGTTTCTATTTTACAGCCTCGGAGTGAGTCAGAACTTATTGACGAACTTTCCAAGGATTTTAGCCAGGCTAAGAGTAACGAAAAGCAGCCTAAGCCAACTGGAAAAACAGAAGTAAGTTTCTCAAAGTGTAAATCTCCAGTTTTGAGAATTTTTTTATTACTATTATGTCATCTTAAACAACGTGAAGCTGTTAGTTCCAGGGACCGCACTTTGAGAACCTCTGGTATTGTGTTGCTACTTAGCGTCTGTCCGTAGCTTTGCATCATTTATATAACGTGCTCTTAGATTTATGTAAATCCATATTATTCCATTGTTATCATATAATACAATCTGTAATAATTATAAATAAAATGTCTATACAAAATTATATACAGAAAACATCTAAAATTATAAGATACATAAAACACAAGTTATATAAAATAATAGATTTTATGTGTTAACAATAGAATGATAAAATACAAAATTAAAATACAGTGAAATAGGTATATAACTTAAAAGTACAGTTTTGCTGTAATACAAAACAGAACAGTGAAATACAGAAAAATAGCAGCAGCTTAGGTTTGTTGCGCTTCCTGTGTTCGCACGTACTGTTCCCAGCCCCGCCCCTCCGCTCCCTCACCGCCGCATGGCCGCCCCGCGGGACACCTCCCTTGTGGTCACTTTGCAGCCGTGCAGATGCAGATGGAAGCTCGGAGGCTAAGTAGCTCGGCCAAGGTGAGGGGTAACACTAGACTGACACAGTGGTGGCCACGAAGCCGTGGCACGCCCCGCCCTGCCTCCCCCCACGGCAGCGGCCCTTGCCCACCCTGAGGACCGTGCTCACAGCTCCTGACAGCAGCAGCAGCTTGTGGGTGCGTCTCATACAGCGTGTATTGTGAACCCCCGTTCCTGCAGTTCCTCAGAGCACCTGCTTCTCTCCCCAGGAGTCCAAGGCTGCCGTCCCCGCTCCAGTGGCCGAAGCTGTGCCTCGGACGTCCATGTGCAGTATACAGTCGGTGCCACCCAAGCCTGCCTCGCTGGTGAGTGCCTGAATCCCTGTGATGGAAACCCAGGCTGACGGTTTAATGAAATTGTTGCAAGCTCTGGTTTCCTCTCATCTTCTCAGGTTCTTTCTAGTTCCTTGGCCATTGTGGCTCATCAGGCTTTTGGCCTCCCTGCATCTTTTCCGCTTGCCTGGGTCTTGTAGCTGGCGTGATGTTGCTTCCCCTCGACCCCTGACCTTTCCGGTGGGATGATTGGCACCAGGAGCACCGCCTCCTCCCTCCACTCTTCCAGCAGGGGGGCCCAGATTGACTCAATTCTTCTCCCGCGGCGTCTTCTGTCTTGCACGCGTTGTTTCTGAAGTGTGGCGTTTCACTGGTTGAACCTTTGTTTCCTGCCATGGTTTCATTGGTTTTTGCACCCGTCTGCTGATGCAGAGAATAGCATGTGTCCTCCAGCTGTAGCGAGTCTGCTCTGTGATCCTCCAGCGCCCACGTCTACCACCCCTTGTTCGGCATGCTTGGCAGCATCTTCTCGCTAGACGGCCCCGAGGGCACTGTGGAGCCTGCCCCTGTCATCTCATCAGCTTCCTGTTCCACATCAGGGAAGGGAGGCTTTGGGTTGACCTTGAATGACCCACTTCACGTTTCAGAGCCTCCCCTGGGGACCCTGCACTTGGCTGTCTGCCATCCTAGCGTAGACGGGGCCACATCTCAAGTGCACGGTACTGTCTGATCACTTGCACGTGGGCAAGGGCAGAGGCATCTGGAGTGATGAAGCCCTCCCCAGGAGGAACTGGCCAAGGCTTGTGGGCAGTGGGCAGGATGGCTCTGAGAAGTGTGCGTGGCGCCATCTAGAGGACGGCCAGTGAGCCACGCACCTGATGTCCCCAGGAGGTGTGCATGCACTTGTGGAGAAAAGGGAGTCTCGAGGCAGGTGTCACACACATGTGTCTCAGATGCTGAGAAGTGGCTGCCTCCTGCCAGGGAAGGCCTGGGTGACAGCAGCAAATCACCTGAGTCCAGGTTCTCCCTGCTGGCCACGATAGGACCCGCCCCCTTTGCTAGAGGTTTCCACACCCCAAGCCGCAGTGGCATCAAAGAAGAGACTCGGAGGGAATCTAGGTGGGGTCCCACGCCAGTGACACCAGTGAGAAGCAGGGACAGGGGCAGGGAGGGGAGTCGGAGGCAATAGGCAGCATTCCAGGGCAGAGCTCCGGTGACCAGCGCCACGCCGTCTACCCTGTGTGCCAACAGAGACTGCCAGGCCTGAGAGCACTCAGCTGGTTCCTTTCCAGCTCCACCCTGACCCAGGGGGTTGCATGCCGGGTGTCCAGTGGGGTAGACAAGGACTGCCTGTTTGCCCCTTCAACCACCTCCTTTCCTGCCCCCCCCCACACACACACTTGCTGAGGCTGTTGGCACTCCAGGGACTGTGACCCCGTGGGGAGCTAGAAGGTGTGTCTGTGGGTGTGGCGAAGGTCCGAGGGCTCAGGAACAGCTTAGGGATTTCAGGGTGAAGGCGCAGAGACCACAGGAAGGAAGTGGCCCTGGCTGGGTCTTGTGTGCCTGCAGAGTTGGAGAAGATCCAGAGACGCAAGCTCCAGTTCTGAATCTGGCCACAGGGAATATGGCAGCCATGGGCATTGTCGTCCTCAGTCCCACTCCTGGATCCCTTCATTCTCGGCACTGCTGTGTCTCCTAGCTTCTCCTCCACTCCGTCGTTTCTCAAACAAGCTCAGCGGAGGGCACGGGCTTGGGAAGCAGTAGTTTCCAAAGACTCTGCAGCGGGGAGTGGGGAACAGTGCAGGTGTCACACACCAGGTCACCACTCAGGCGGCCAGCACACCTCTGCCGTCCCTAACAACTTGAATAGCGCAGTTGCTCCTGGGAATAAAATCATTGCAATGTCCAGCCACCAGATGGCGATGAATCATTCCATTCAGGCTCCCTTTTCTGGGTTTTCTTTTACATCAGAGAATAGCTGAAAAATTTTGTCTTACTTGAAATGATGGCTAAACTATACATCTATAGATATAGATATGTGACAAAGACAGTTTTACTTTAAAAGTCTAATAAACACTCAGTGTGTGGTCAGAGACTTCTACGATGATAATACAGTGAGACCCAGCAGGGTTTGTCCCACTTGCTTGGTCAGGGCTGGCAATAAGAAAGTCCCCGATACTGTGACCCAGTACCCACACAATGAAAACCACACCTTCAAGAACAGGGCTTATCCCTGTTAGGCCTGCTGCATCCTGTTTTCTCATAAAAAAAAAAAAATACTGGCTATGAACCATTAAATTGACTTGTATGAGTTAAGCTTGTGATATACACATTACTAAGTTTTGAAAAGCCAGATCTAGTCTTTTTAAAAAAGATTTCTTTATTTGTAAGGCCAAGTGACAGAAAGTGATGTCTTCCATCTACTGGTTCACTCCCCAAATGGCCACAGCAGCCAAGGCTGGGCCAGGCTGAAGCCGAGAGTCCAACACTCAGTGCAGGTTTCCCATGTAGCTGGTAGGCACCAAGTGCTTGGCCAGTCATCTGCTGCCTCCCAGCCTGCGAGTTAACAGGAACCTAGATCAGAAGCAGAGCAGCCAGTACTGGAACGACACTCCCATATGGGATGCAGGTGTCACAAGCAGTGGCTTTACCCACGGAACCGCAGCACTGGCCCCAGACGTGGTCAGTCTGTTAGCATAAACGTGGCGGGATTGGAAGTGGAGCAGCCGGGACTCAAACCCTTTAGGGCTCAGGTGTGGGATGCCAGAGTCACAGGCAGTGGCTTAATCCTCTGTGCCACAATGCTAGTCCTCCACATTTTAAGTTTTCTAACCATGGATCCTAGTCCAGTTGACTGCTCCAGTTATTAAAAGACAGCATGCACTTCTCATCTAGACCTGAAATCGGGGTGTGCGTGTGTGGACTGTGTCGTGGGGTGTGATGAAGGCATGACTGACCGCCTCCTCGGTATACCCACTTCTCTACCCCAGCAGAAGAGCACGGTGCCAGATGATGCCGTGGAAGCCTTGGCTGGCAGCCTTGGGAGGAAGGAGGCCGATCCAGAAGAAGGGAAACCTGTGGCAGATAAAGTCAAGGTAATGGCAGTTCAGATTCTTCTAGAAAAAAAAGCTATGAAGGAGCATCCCCTCCCGCATAGGTTAGTCGTCTGTACCCCACCGACTTGATCTGCTGCCCTGTTTACTAAGCTACCCCTGCATAAGCCCCAGGGTCTGAGACCACGGATGGTGGACAGCTCACATGTGGCAGCCTTCTCCGAGTCTCGGCTCTGCCTGCACTCCCGCTGCTGAGTGGCGGCTGTGCACTGCTCCTTGCACGCCGTTAGCCCAGCAGGTGCCTGGTGGCAGCTGAGCCTGCCGTCCTCAGATAGCTTTAAAGATTACAGGTCACTGCGGGAACCCCAGACCTACACCCCTGTGTGTGTTCTAAGGTAGCTCTGCCTACCCCCAGTGCCCAATGTTGTCACCCAGGCACCCTTTGAGGGGGAGAACGGTATCTTAACAAGGGGAATGGTGTGACTTTTTCGTTGTTGTTGTTCAGGAGAAATCCAAGGAAGAAGAGCGGGAAAAACTTGGTGAAAAGGAAGAAACCATTCCCCCTGATTATAGACTGGAAGAGGCTAAGGTAAACAGGTGGAGTGTTTTCCCTATCTGACTTTAAATCATACTGAATTTATCTATATAGCATAGGGACGTAGGAACAGACATGGAACATAAAGATCTCATTTCTTAACATTTCAAACCATGCAGACTCATGGCATGGAACATCAGCTAGGAAGCTATGATATTCCAACGTGGGCTTCACGTTCTTTGCTAAGGGAGGGAAGTCTAATGTCTGCCTTCCTCTCTAACAAGGTTTATCCCAGTACCTGAAATACAGAAAGCCCACAATAAAGTTATTTTCTGTGAAGGACAATTTGCAACTCTGAGATGCAAGTTGGAAAAAATGCGAGCTTGGTTAACAGTGACAGGCAGGTGGGCCGATTTCCTTATTTGGAAAGTACAGGTGGTGCGTCTTGCCGTTTAAGTGCGGTCACTGAAACAGGGCAGGTGCACCGACAGCCACATGGATGCTGGCAGCTTCACAGCCGCTGCTTATAAACGATCCCTGTCTCAGCTCCGTCGGCAGTGCTGGGACGCGCTCATCCACAGGCACTAGCTGTGGACTAGCAGGGACTGTCCCGAGCCCTCAGACCGGATGCCTTCGTTCTGATGCCTTTCTGCATTTAGAGTTTTTTTTTTCCTTAAGATCTACTCCTTTTTTTTTTTTTTCTTTTTAAGATTTACTTATTTACTTGAAAGGCAGAGTTATAGAGAACTTTTTCCATCTACTGGTTCACTCTCCAAATGGCCACAATGGCTGGAGCTAGGCCGATCTGAAGCCAAGAGTTTTTCCGGGTCTCCCATGTGGGTGCAGGGGCCCAAGCACTTGGGCCATCTTCCACTGCACTCCCGGGCCACAGCAGAGAGCTGGACTGGAAGAAGAGCAACCGGGACAGAATCCGGCGCCCCGACCGGGACTAGAACCCGGTGTGCCGGCACCGCAGACAGAGGATTAGCCTATTGAGCCGCGGCGCCGGCTTAAATATCAGTTTTACCTGCTATACCACAGCACCAGCCCCAAGATCTATTTATTTTAAAAGCAGAGTTAGAGATGTCTTCCATCTTCTGGTTCACTCCCTAAATGTGTGCAACAGCCAAAGCTGGGCCAGGTCGAAGCCAGGAGCTTCATCTGGGTCTCCCACATGGGTCAGGAGTCCAAGCACTTGGGCCATCTTCCATTGCTTTCCCAGGCACATTAGCAGAGAGCTGGCTTTGAAGTGGAGCAGCCCAGACTCAAACCAGCACCCATGTGGGATGCCGGCGTGGTTTAACCCGCTGCTTCCAGTGCCGGCCCCTGCATTTCACAACTCAGTTGGAACCATGGCGATTCTCTTCATTCTGGCTTGCTTGCGTGTTGCTTTGTGGGGCTCTTGGAGAGCCTGGCTCTGCTGACCAGCACTGTTGAGTAGAGGCTTGTCAGGGGCAGGCGGCTGCTTTCTCTCTCCCCACACTGAGCTGTGGTTGCTGAGTCTGGGGAAGCGGTTTACTGTGTCCTGCAGTCATCCAGCCTCCTCTGAACTGGTTTATTGCACACTTTGGTAGTAACCTGTTGCTTCATAGCATTTTAGGTGCTGACTTGGTCTCTTGCTTAAACCCCATGTTGCTCATCAGCCATGCACACGTGAGGTCTCTGTAGGGAGAGCCCAGTGTCCTGAGGACAACACAAGTGCCCCTAGTGGTGATGACGTGATAGGAAATCCATTTCCCTCGGAGTGTGGAGCTGGGGTGTCCCCGGGGTCCCGTTCCTTGTTTGGGACATTTGCTGCCTTTGCAGCTGGGGTGTGGTGGGGGCCACCCCCTTGACATTGCAGAGTGGTCAGAGTGCGGGTGAACCGCAGGGCAGGTGGCGAGGGATACCCCCAAGTTGTCAGCCCCAGGAAGCAGGTGACCCCTCCAAACCCACTGCCCTTCATGTTGTAAGTGCACGAAACACAGCTGGCAGACCCTGGACCAGTTTCCTGCGTGTGTGTGTGTGTGTGTGTGTGTGTGTGTATAGATAAATGGGACTAAGCGTTACGTTCTAGATCTCGTTTTACTAAAGAGCCCCACATGCCTTGCCGGTCTTGCGGCCCATAGAGTGGTTGAAGGCTTGGCGTGTTCTGAGCCCCCAGCCTCAGTGTCCCAGCCACAGCGCCCACTGCCTGTGGGCAGGGGCCTGATGCTCTTCTCTGTGGTCTTCCCCATGCCCAAGTCGGGGAATGGCACGCGGTCCATGTGTGGCATGTGAAGTTATCCCATGTTTTCTGCAAAGCTCGTCCCTGGGTAGTTCCAGGTTGTCCCGCAGTATCCTGCAAGCCCATGGCAGCACCATGGGCCTTCCCTGTGCTGGGTGCCAGGCTTCTGAGGTCACACCATGCCCGATCCCACGCATGGTCCTCATGCCACAGGACTGTCTGCCACACGTGAGGTACCCGGAGTGTGTTCTCTGGCGAAATGACCCACGTAGTTCGAAATGCACAGCAGGGAGGGGGCAGTCAGCCCACCGGTTAGGATGCCCACGTTCCATGTTGAAGTACCTGGGTTCAATTCCCAGCTCCCGCTCCTGATTCCAGCTTTGTGCTCAAGCTCACCCTGGGAGGCAGCCGTGAAGGCTCATGTACCTGGGTTCCTTTCTCGGCTTCGGCCCAGCCTAACTCTGGCTGCTGCAGACACTGGGGGAGTAAACCAGCAGGTGGGGTAACTCGCTCGCTCGCTTGCTCTCTGCCTCTCAAGTAAGTGGTTTTGTTTTGTTTAACGTCCAATGGTAGGTATAGCCTCTTGATCCTACAGTGTGTACAAGATCTCCTACTTGGAATAAAATGTGTTTCAATGCCCTGTTTCTTCCCTGGATAGGATAAAGATGGAAAACCACTCCCGCCATCAGAGCCCACTGCACAACTTCCAGTAAGCAAACGCGTTCCTTCGATGTCCACTACTGTGGCCGCCGTCACTAACTTGGGAGGGGATCCCTGTGCGCGCACTGAGCTGGCTGGCTTGTGAAGGGGACGCCACTGGGGTGGACGCTGACCCCTTTCCTGGGTCTTGCAGGCCTTGAGCGAGGACCTCCTCCTGGACGCCTTGTCTGAGGACTTCTCGGGTCCGTCGAGCACCTCGTCTCTCGTAAGTGTGCCGCTCTTGGCTTCTCTTCAGGGTGGGCGGGACCCATGGAAACTTGTACATTGGGAGCTGAAGGAACTGTCGCGAAATGAATGGCCCTCAGCACGCGGTAGCCCTAAAAACGTGTCGCACCATGTCACGTGGGCCCACTGACTGAGCCCTCGAGCGTGTAGTACTCAGAGTGCCCCTGTGAGAAGAGAATCCTGGTCTGAGTTTATCCAAGATGACCTTGCAGACGGCGTTCCCCGTTCGGTCTAGTTTATCGCTCGACAGATTCCTGCCTGCGAACACTTAGCTCCACGTGGTGTGGACAGGCCCCTCAGGAGAAATTCTGCTAATCCACATTCACGCAGTTGGGGCAGCGCTGGGTCTTGAGAGGCAAGTTTCTCTCCCATGGGATGTTCTTGGCTTTTTCGTTTGTTTTTAGGATTTATTTGAGAAGCAGAGTTACAGAGAGGAAGACACAGAAAGGTCTTTCATCTGCTGGTTCATTCCCCAAATGGCCTCAATGGTCGATCTGAAGCCAGGAGCCTGGAGCTCCCTTTGGGTCTCCCACACAGGGGAGGTGCAGGGGCCCAAGCACTTGGGCCATCTTCCACTGCTTTCCTAGGCCATAGCAGAGAGCTGGATCAGAATTAAAGCAGCCAGGATTCGAGCCAGTGCCCACATGGGATACCAGCATCACAGGTGGAGGCTTAGCCTACTACACCACGGCACCGGCCCCTGCTCTCGGCTTTTTGTGCAGAAATGCATGTGGCACATCTGCTAGCATCCCCAGCTTATGTAACCACCTCTCGTGGGGGCTGGATTGTCTGTTCACAGTGAAGCCACTTTTGAAACCACTGGATGTGAGAGTTCTGTGGGAAGTCAGTTAGAAAGCAGGTCAGCAGGTCCCTGTAGGACAGTGGTATAGGACTTGAACTTGCACCAGCTGAGAAAGGACTGACGGCCACAAGAAGCAGTGCTTCCCTGGAGGAGTCGGACGTTGCCCGTGCTGTATCAGGACACCCTCCAAGGAGGGCTCGCTGCCCACACTGCTGTGCGAATGCCGGGCTGCCGCCTCCCAGTCCCAGGCCGTTGTCTCCTCCTCCTCCTCTATGCAGGCAGGCAGGCAGGCATCAAGGCCATGGGGAGGCCCAGCCCGGATCTGGGAACCCGAAGATACAGGGAAGAAGGCCGTGCGTGGTATCCCAGGGCTAAGGACTCGGATCTCTGCAGAGATGCAGAAATTGTTGTGACCGGGTTGTGGGAACGTCCTCCTCCTGTCTTAATTCTTAGCACGTAGCTGGGCTTTTCTTTTAGAGATTTAAAGACTTGGAGACTGTGGCACTGAATGTAGATGTCTGTGCTCCCCTCCAGAAAGGAATAAGGGATTTAAGATTTAAAAAAAAAAAAAAAACTTTCTAAGGGTAGTTTTTTAACAACCTAGCCAAGGAAAAGCGATCACTAGTGTCCGCGCTACAGTTATTAAAGTAGAAGTGACAGAGGGGATAACCGTTGAATGGCTGCGATGGGCAGTTACGTGGGGGGAGGCCCAGGAAGTGCCCCACAGGGGCTCATAATCAGTGTTCCAGTGTGTGAGTGGTTCCTCTACACAGCATGTTCTTTACTCACAATAAAATGGGACAGATTCTATTTGTAAAGAAATCATAAACTACTCCCCGGGGGTGGGCCTTGTGGTACAGCGGGCTACATCCCCTGTGGGAGTGGCCAGGATCAAGTCCCGCCTCTGCCTTTGCTTCCAGCAAAGCTCCCTGCTAATGCCCCAGGGAGGCGTCGGGACAGCTCAAGTGCTGAGTCCCTGCCCCCATGCAGGAGACCTGAATGGAGTCCTGGCTCCTGCCCTCAGCCTGGCCCAGTCCAGGTTGTTGCAGGCATCTGGGGCATGAGCCAGTGGACGGAAGATCTCTATCTTTCACTCTGCCTTTCAAATAAAAATGAACATCTTTTACTGTATTCCCCTAGTAATACTGGAAGCAAACAGGAAATTCACACACAGTCTTTTTGTGAGGGAGAGAGCTCTCATCTGCTAGTCCATGCCCCAGAGGCCCGCAGCAGCCATGGGCTGAGCAGATTACCAGAAATGAAAATATGTGATAGAACTCTAATCCTGCCAGGCCAGGCCATGGGAAAGCGGACGTTCTCATTCATTGTTTTTAGCATAATGATTTCCTGGAGAGAGCAGCTTGGCAGAATACAGCCAGCACATAAAAAGATGCACTTCTGGCACTTAGCCAGAGCAGTTGACTAGCATCAGGCGTTGTGGTGCAGCAGGTTAATCCACTTGGCAACCACATCTCAGACTGGAATGCCTGGGTCAAGTCCCGGCTGCTCCTCTTCTCATCCAGCTTCCTGCGAATGCTCATCCTGAGAGACAGCACTGATGGCTCAAGTACTTGAGTTCCTGCCACCCATGGGGGAGACCCAGATAGAGTTCTGGGCTCCTGGCTTTGGCCTGGCCCAAAGCCTATTGCAGGCATTTGGGGAGTACACCAGTGGATGGAAGAGATCTTTGTCTCTCTCAAATAAACTTCAAAACTTGTGGGAAACCTAGAACCATTCATTACAAATTGAAAAACTTCAACTTAAATGCACAACAAGAAATGTGTACACAAACTGCAGAGCCACAGAAGTCTAAATGATTCAATTATCCAGTGTTCGGAATAAAAATCTGAACGCGCCCTGGAAACAGGAAGTCCCATGGAACAAGGCCATGGAGAAGGAAGCAGATCACCACCACGGAGGTTGTGTTACTGTGCGAGGATTTGGGTCGGGAGCAGGAGCGCTCGGGCTGTATTCGCGGGGTGGTGTGGTGGGCATGACTTTATATACAGCAGTGACTGATCCAAGTGTCTTCTCGTTCATACAAGAAATTCGACGATGCCATGCTCTCTGCTGCCGTCTCGGAAGTGGTCTCCCAAAGCCCTGCCTCCGTCACCCACGCCGCGGCCCCACCCCCTGACACTCGGGTAAGCAGCATCCTTTCTGTGGGGAATAAACCGCGAGGAGGAAGAGGTACCTGCTCACCACAAACGAAAGCGGAGATGGCTGTGAGGAGGTCGCGCCTCCTGTTTGGGAAGGGCTTGGTTAGGCGGCTGCACGGGGAGAGGGCACTGGAAGGTGTGTGAAAGTACTCGACACACGGCTGAGGGCCTTAATGTCATTGTTGCTTTATCCAAGTTCAAAGCCTAGTCGTTTGCATTGTGTTTTGAATTGCCACATTGGAAAACCACTGTAGCCTTCCTGGTAATTAATTTTCTATCTATTCCTGGTGACACCTGCTATTGTGCCCCCCACCCCCTGCAGCCCTGCAGCAGGCAGAGGGCTTCCCCCACCCAGGTCCCCCTGTTGTGTGGCAAGCTTTTGAAGCGTAGGAGGCAAGTTGGCTCCGCTTCCTTGCCTGTTGATGTAGCTACAAAGCCGGCTAAAGGGCTGCAGTGGGGGTCTGCTGGGTCGTCATCCTGTCGGGTCAGCCCCAGGTCGCCTGAGAACATCCAGGGGGCACAGACGACACAGCCCAGACCCGGCTGGGGAGCTGCTCTGTGAGCAACCGTGATGCTGGGCACTTGAAACCAGCAAAGTGGGGTGTGTGTGTGTACATGCACGCGCGTGCACGTGTATACACAGACACAACTAGAGAAGTCCCTGTTCAGCAGACAGGAAGAATCTGTAATAACGTCGGCTACCATTGCCATTTCAGTTCTCTTCCCTGTTTCTTTGTTACTGACTTGAACAGCAGAGGGGCCGGCGCTGTGGTGCAGCAGGTTGGGCCAGACTCTGGCACCCCTATCGGAGCACCAGATTGAGTCCGGCTGCTGCACTTCATCCAACCCCCTGTTCGTGCACCTGGGAACGCAGCTGGTGATGGCCCGGCTACCTGAGCCCCTGCCACCCATGTGGGAGCCTGGGATCGAGTGCCTGGCTTCTGTCTTTAGCCTGGCCCAGCACTGGCTTTTGTGGCCATTTAGGGAGTGATGCAACAGATGAAGGATCAATTCTCTCTCTCTCTCTTCCCCTCTTCCCTCCCACACACACTCTTCCCCCTCCTTCTCTTTGTCTCTCCTCTCTGTCACTCTGCCTTTCAAATAAATCCTAAATTATTCTATAAAGAGATCTTCTACCTACTTATTCACTCCTTAAGTGCCCACAACACCTAGGACTGGGCCAGCTGGAGCCAGGAACCCAATCCAAGACTGTCATATGGGTGACAGGCACCCCAGGACCTGAACCATCACCTGCTGCCTCCTAGGGTGCACACGAGCAGGAAGCTGGAATGGAGAGCAGAGCCAAGACTGGGCCCAGTCACTCTGATAGGGGAGTCGGGCATCTTAACCCAACACCAGCTGCACCTCCACCCCAGCCCTTCCATTCACTTTTTAAAAGTGTGTCTTTGGCAGCTGACTTAGCATCCCTGAATCTACTCCCTCCCCCCGACCCCACCCCGACCCCACCCCCCACGGAGAAACCTGCCCCGTTTGCTTGGTGTAGAGGATGGTTATGGGCATCAGATAAAACTGGATGATCATGCTGAAATCAGCCAGAAAGTTCTATGCTGTTGAGACAGAGCCCAGCACGGTGTCTCCTGCAGTGCAGACAGGAGACACGCTTCTGAACTGAGCGCACCTGGAGGTGGAAGACAGCATTTTAAACACAGCACATTGGAGTACCGTGAACTTACTGCGTGCCAGCATCCAGGGGCTGTTTTGCACTTTCCTGATCATGGATGCTTCTCAACAACTTGGGAGCAGAGCTGTTATTCATAGGTCACGTCCCGTGGGACAGGCTCAGAGGGGTTCAGCAACTTGCCCTAGTCCTATGGTAACTCAGTGTTAGAGGAAATAGGCTGTCTGGGCCCCTGGGTGCAGCTGTTGGCATGGCCGTAACCCCCACCCCCTCTCCAGAACACCTGCTCCTATCCCTCTCTGCTCCTGGCTTCCTGAGGGTGGGGAGAGGCTCCCAGCAGTTCCGGAAGCCTCTGAGCTCTTTAGAAACCTGTTGTCCTCTGTGTGACAGAAGCCCTCTCCCTCCTGGACACTGGGTTGTCCCCTGGGCTCCCTGGCATCCCCATGGCCTGTCCTTTAGGATCTGGCCTGGGAGTGTGCCTGCAGACCCACCAAGCAGCACCCAGCCTGCGTTGTAGAATCCTAAATCTGGATTTTTGGACAGCACAATTGGGTCCTCACTCCAAGTTATCTCATCCTGTTTCATTGCTAAGTGAAAGCAACGTGGTTGGTTCCTCTGCTGTTGGACCGTCCAGGTGATCCAGGGTACCTGCTGAGGTGTGGTCCCCGATGACCCATGGGCGGCTGGGATTCTCACCAAGGAGATAGGCTGGGCGGGTGGAGGCACTGAGTTCCCAGACCAGTCAGGTTCACAGTTGCCACAGCTCCTTGTGTTTGTCTCGGCGCTTCTCTGCCCCTGTCCTCCAAGGAAGTGGGGCCCCTCCTGGGCTGATCTGCCCCTGACACAGTTGACTGCCCATGACTGAGGGAGAATTATTTGCCTTTTAGCCCAGCAACAAGGAACTCGACGATGCCTTGGATAAACTTTCTGACAGTCTTGGCCAAAGGCAGCCTGATCCCGATGAGAACAAGCCCATGGAGGACAAAGTGAAGGTAAGAAGCAGCCCTGGCCCTGAGGTTTGTACAGCAGAGAGGGAGCGGCCGTGACCGTGTGCAGAGTCGGTGCACCGTTGGCTAGCCTGCCTCATTGCCCTGCTCCATGGGGTTTTCCTTGTTTGGCTGGGGAGTTGTTGATGGCCCAGACTGTGTTATGGGCAAATATCCTGTTGGTGAGACCAGACTGTGTTGTGAGGGAAAAGCACAGTTTCCTGCTCTTACCTGGAGTGAGGACATCCTATGCATGATACACACACACACGCCTGCCCACCTATGTGGGTTGTCACGGTCTCTACTTGGAGTGACACAGGCCACCTGCCTGGCAGAAGGCTTGCAGTGGCTTTTCCTGCACGAGCCTGTGGGCCCGAGTCGGTACTCCCAGGGGAGGACGCAGGGGCAGGCAGGCAGCAGCGCGCAGAGGTGTGTGCAGGACGGGAAGAGCTCACCTCACATATTTGACACAACACGAGTGAGCACGCATTTAGCCCTTGCAGTATAGAAAACGTTTATATCCGCCCAGCTCACGGCGTGGAACCAGCCAGGTCAGCGTCCCGAGGGCAGCATTTCAGAGAATCCTTAGACCTGGATTCTGTGACTGTCATAGGAACATTGACATGAACTTAACCCGTAGTTGAAAAATGATGCAGAAAAATACATGGACTCCGAGGTCACGAGCCCTGTGCCGGAGCCGAGCCTCCCTGAGCTGGTGTGGCCTCCTCACTGCAGCCCAAGCAGCGAGCCCCGTCCGCCCATCCTGCTGCTGTCCTATTCAAGAGCAACTTGAAAATCATCAGCCCCATTAGGTGGCAGACATTTGTTCCACGTGGTTGGGTCGCCGACTAGGACAGCATGTCCCGTGTTGGAGTCCATGGTTCGGGGCCAGGCCCGGCTCCTGCCTCCAGCTCCCTGCTAATGTGCACCCCAGGGGAGGCAGAGCTGATGGCTCAGGTGGTTGGGTCCCTGCCACCCACATGGGAGACTTGGGTTGAGTTTGCTCTCCTGGCTTCGGCCCTGGCCATTGGGTAGGAGTGTCTATCTTCTCATTTTTAACAATCACACTTGTAAACACTGCCTCCCTTCATGCCAAGGTACAGCATTTGAAAAGTGAAATTGTTTCAGGACAAAAAATTAAAAATTTTTATTCAAAAGGCAGAGTTAGATTTTCCATCTGCCTGTTCACTCCCCCAGTGGCTGCAACTGCTGGAGTTGGGCCAGACTGAACCGGGGACTTCATCCGGGTCTCCCATGTGGGTATGGGGGCCCAAGCACTTGGGCCATCTTCTTCTGCTTTCCCAGATGCATCAGCAGGGAGTTGGATCAGAAGTGGAGTAGCCGGAACTCAAACCAGCACCCATATGGGATGCTGGTGCTGCAGGTGGAGGATTTACCTGCTACACCACAGTACCGGCCCCACCGTATTTTCTAGCATTGAGTTTGATTGCCTAACATTTTCTGGGGAAAAGTATTTAGTTAGTTGGTTCCATTTAAAATACAGAATGGAAATGCACTTCTGTGCATAGGGGTCTACATCGTTCTCGCCAGCTCAAGTCTGTTGTCATCCATTTCATCTTAAGAACAAGCAGACTAAATACTGAATGCTGCATTTCAGAGGCAGGGAGGAACGGAACATTAAATGTCTCTGCTCCACGTTTCCAGGAAAGAGCCAAAAAGGAACACAGACACAAGCTGGGGGAGAGAGATGACACCATTCCCCCCGAGTACAGGCACCTGCTGGACCAGGGCGAGCAGGTAAACGGGGCACTGCGCAGAGGGTTGGATTCTCAGCGCCAGGCTTGGAAAATGCAAACTTGTCCTGATGTGAGCTGGAGGTGCGTGCTTGGACACTCTGCCTGCCTGGGGGTGCCAGCACTGACCAGCAGACCCTCAAGGCCACCGCTCCTGTGTACTTGCACAAATGCCGTCTGCTGCTCGCGTGCTGTTCAGCCTCTCACTGACACTTAAGGGTAATTCCCAGACATGTCCAGGGACCTTCTAAAAGTTCATGGAAAGGAGAGTTAAAGGAAAGGTTATTTTGATGCAAAAGTGCATAGTTTCTCACTCAAAGGAGTGTCTCTCCAAGCCGTGTTGGCGTAATGAATGGGACAAGTTGCTATGGCCACTCCTGGCCCTGGGTCCCCCTTTCTTCTGCACCCCCACCAGCACTGTCACAAAGACAGGTCAAGCCATACCTCTGGTTGCAAGCCCAGTGTTTGTGCCAGGCCTTGGGTCTCCAAGCAGAAGCCAGCTTTTCTTGGGTCTCCCATGCTGACCCTCTCGGGTTCAGTTAGATGACTGGTAGCCCTCCTGAGACCTGTTCAGCAAATCCGTGGAGCCCAAGATACCTCCCCAGGCTGCGTCTGTGCAGATTCAGTTGGTGGGGGAGATCTGCTGGTTTAACTGGTTCTGCACCCTGCTAGCACCTGCGTGCCCTGAGCACCGTCAGCAGTTCCCCCTCCTCAGTTGTGCATCTCGCGAAGTGCATCATGCAATGCCCTGCCCTTGAAGGTGGGAGAATCCCTGATAAGCCCATTGCTTGTAACCCTGTCTGAAAGTCACCTCCAGAGCCTTAGAGAGTCGAATGCTGTTCCAAGCACAACGTGAACACACACAGTGCTTGTCATGACCTTGTAAGAATTCTGAATCACAGTACACGAAAGCAGAAAGTCTCAAGGTTTTCCCAGGTGCTCTTGAACGATTGCTGATGGTAGTGACTAAGCAAAATTAGTTGACTAGCAGTAGGGGCTGAGGCTTATCAGTTACTGCAAATCTGTGCTCCATCTTAGCCAAAGCAACAGGTCCCATAACCACCAGCTGCACATAAATAAACCTTAAAAATGATCTGTTTAACCAAGAATCTGCTTTGTGTTTTAAGGACAAACCAGAGAAGCCACCTACAAAGAAATCAAAGGAAATAAAGGTAAACACCAGGGTAGCATGTTTCCATGAATTATCTCAGTGTAGCTGTCGTCTACACTCTAAAGCTAAAATGATGGACTGCCAACTCTGTACTTGGTACTGTGCCAGGGCACTTACAGCCACCTGGTCCACACAAGCCCTGTGTGGTCGGCAGTGCCACTTTCCAGGCGAGAGGACACGGAACTTCTGTCGAGGGAAGAGGAGAGGCTTTGGGTGCGGCGTTTAGCTCGCTGCTCGGGATGCCGGTATCCCACAGAGTGCCTGGGTTCTAGTCCTGGTTACACGCCCAATGCCAGCTTCCTGGTAATGCTCACTCTGGGTCACCGTCCCCTGTGTGGGAGACTCAGACTGAGTTCCCAGCCCCTGGCTTTGCCCTGGCCCAGCAGGGGCATTTGGGGAATGAACCAGCAATAGAAAATAAAACTGTCAGGGTAATCTTTAAAAAATATAGTAAAACAAACCTTATTTGAAAGAGTGACAAACACAGATCTTCTATCCCACTGGTTCACTCCCCAAATAACACAGCTAGGGATGGGGCCAGGCTGAAGCTGAAGTCGGGAAACCCATATCAGTCTCCAACATGGGTAGTGAGGTCCAAGTCCTTGGGCCATCTTCTGCCTTCCCAGAACGTTAGCAGGGAGCTGGCTCAGAAGTGGAAAAGCCTCTGGACCTGGCACTGGCACTTTGGTGAACTACTGTGCTATGATGCCACCCCCTTACTATCTTTTTACATTACTGGGAAGACAGGTGTTTTTCTTAATGTGTGTGACTGCTGACAGGGGACTGCCCCAGAGGGCCCTTCCCTCATGGTGGTTCTCTGTCCCAGAAACCTGCAGGTGACCAGGACCCCATCGATGCCCTCTCGGGAGACCTGGACAGCTGCCCTCCAGCTGCGGAGACCTCCCAGGCCACAGAGAAGGTACAGTGCTTTTTCATGTCAACTCTTTGGAATACCCATGTGTCTGCATGTACAATCTTAGCTGATTGAGATGTAGCCTGCATTGCATGATGCCACAACTTGGAAATAAAAGGCAGTAGCTTGACTGTCCTACAAACACTATAATTTAGTGTATTTCCTCTGTCCCTTAACCTACTTGTGTTTTGTAGAATTATACTTACAGGCTACTTGTAATACATGGTTCACTGTTAAATGCTGTACATGTGGCTTTATAATGCTCCCAGCCATCGTTCTCTATTGCCACATTGTACAGTTACTTGAAACACAGCCAGAAAGAGAACTCACTCTTCCACTGTCTGCAACAGCCACAGCTGAGCCAGACTGCAGCCCGGAGCCCAAAACTCCATGTGGGTCTCCCATGGATGGGGCAGGGACTCCAGTACTTGAGTGTGCATCAGCAGGAAGCTGGAAAGAAAGCGGAGCAGTTCCTTCCACATAGACGTGAGCGCATGCGACGTCAGACAGGGCAGGATCTTTAGCCATTTGTCCACTGACAGACACGTGGATCTTCTCCACGCCTCGGCTGTTGTGAATACCGCTGCAGAGAACATGGGAGACGTGATGTCCTCTCCTTGGGTGTGCACCCAGGAGGCATTGCTGCCCCCTACCACATGGTGATTATTAATTTTGTTAGGAGCCTCCATCCTGTCTTCTGTAGGGCTGTACAAGGGTTGTCTTTTTGCCGCACCCTGGCCAACAGGTGTTTTCTCGTGCTGTTCCGGTCATGGAGTAGCTGTTTCAATAAGCTAAACCAGGGCTGGGTGAGCCCCACCGTGCCCACCTTAACCCCTTCTCACACAGCGTGCCCCCCCCCCCCCCGGTCTCCAGGAGGTAAATGGGAAGGGAAAGCTCCAAGCCATTAGAGTCCTCCAGAGGAATGTGATTGCAGCCACTAGAGTCGCTGCTACTGCAGAGTGATCAGTGCACGGCCTCTGTTGCAGGATAAAAGCAAGACCACGACGGCCTCCAGTTCCAAAGCTGCCAAGCATGGAGACAAAGCAAAGGATTCAGCCCAGGTGAGCCCAGGGCAGGAGCTCTGCACCAGGCGGGTTCCAGTTACACAGCCCAGATCTGTCATGTTTAGTATTGCAATCTATTTAGAATAAAGATGTTTAAGGAACGGGTGAGTACATACTGCATACTGTTACTGGAAAATGCACCTGCTAAAAGACCATACATGGACTTCAGAAATTTAACTGGTGCTTTCAAAATGCAGGTGAATGTCCTCAGTTTAATTGCCTGTTTCTTCTGCCCTTGTTCAAATAGCACCCCAGTATGGAATGAGCATTTCCGGGGTCAGTGTACTCACTAGATACCACCTGGGAGGGAGGACAGCCTGGTTTGTCGGTAGAACTAAAGTGGGTGAATGGAAGTACAGGGTCTACCTTAGTGCTCCAGAACCTGTCTCTTCCTGTTACACTGACGCAAGCTGTGGTCAGGAGTAGAAGCTGGATTACAAACCTTCCAGCTCCTTCCCAGTTTCCAGAATGCGCGATTCTAACAGTTATTATATTACCATGACTCCCTGACTGCAGTGAAAGATTAAGTGTGTAGTTCTAAAAACATCCAATAGCCTCAATTTTTAACAAGATAGTGAAATGTTCCTGTGGTACATTCTGAACTGTTTGAGACAGGATTGATAAAGTGGCATACGTAAGGAACTATTAACTCCCTCAGGGTCTCCCATCTGAGTGGCAGGCCCCCACACACTGGAGCCCTCACTTGCCACCTCCCAGGGTACACATTAACAGGAAGCTGGGAGGGGGACCAAGACCCAAACCCAGGCTGTTCTTTATGGAACTGCACATCCCCCCACTGCCCCTGCACTGGCTTCTTCTGCAGCTGTTTAGCAAAAGCTGGAAAGCACTACCACCGAGTGGACTAGCTGGCCAGCTGTGGCCCCAGGTACAAGAATGGGGTTCACCATGGAGTGATAGGTGTTCTTGGATGGCTTTGTTAAACTACCCCGGCCTTAACAAGTTCCAGGTGAGAACTTCAGGTCATTTAGCTTATAAACTCGGGGGGGAAGAACTCCGTGTTCTGCCAAGCGGCGAGAGAAGGGAGTGTCTGGCCTGCGGAGGCTGCCTGTCGTCCCTTTCATTCTAGTGCCCCAGATTGTGACATGTGTGCCAGAGGGAGCTCACTGGTGCTTCTGCTTTCCCTTTCAGACCACAGAGGAAACTTCCAAGCCAAAAGCCAATGAAAAAAATGCAAGTTAGAAGTTTACACAGTTTGGTAAGTTGGATGCTAGTCGTAGATGAGCACTGCCCTGTGTTCCATTTTGTGCACCCTGCATGCCACAGTGGAGTCCACAGCATAACCCTTCATTCTGTGAAATAGCCCACAGGGGCCGGTTGTACTCCTGGAATGTTTACAATTTTATAGTTAAATTATTTGCTATTATAAAGAGCTCTTAAGGAGGTTAGGCCTGAAAGAGGCAGAGAGGTCTTCCATCTGCTGGTTTACTCCCCCACCAGCTGGAGCTGCCTGAATCCAAAGGCAGGAGTCTCCTCCAGGTCTCCCATGTGGGTGCAGGGGCCCAAGGACTTGGGCCATCCTGTACTGCTTTCCCAGGCCACAGCAGAGAGCTGGCAGTTCTTGAACCAGCACCCAAGGCGTTAACCCGCTGCACCACAGCACCAGCCCCTCAGGCCTAACTCTTAAAGAAAATGATCATGTAAGGCTCCTTCAGCCTCTGAAATCCAAATGTTCATGATTACAAGTAACTAATCATCTAAAGTTACAATTACTTAGTAATTGTAGCATCTTAGAACTTCCTGTGCCAGGGGGTTCTTAAGATGTCACCTAGCATGCAGACAGGGTACACTGGGGAGAAGCACCCTATGGGATGTGGGGCAGAGCCCAGGATGGACCACGTTCATCTGCCACTAGGAAGATTCTAATTTACGGTAACTAAGGAAATATAGCAGAGGAAGGATACCTGAGACCCGTCCTAAAAACCCAGCCTGTATGTTACTCCTTTCCAAGTCGGGCATGGCAAATAGCTTGTTTCTGCCCAGGGCCACTTGGAAATTGGTATCGATACAAAAATGAGCCTGCTGCAGGTTTACTGAAAAGGCAGTTGCCTGGGCAGGGCCAGGTGTCCCCCAGCGCTGCTCTTGAGTCGTAAAATCAAAATGCAGGCTGCCTTGGGTTCAGCTCTTGCCCTGATGTAGAGGGAGGATAAGCAGATTAAGTTACTGAGGATTTTTCTCAATTGTATTTACTTACTAGAAATTCTTTGTTACACAGTGCTTTTGTCACATGGCCTGTGTCCTGTGCCTCCAACAGTTATCTGGATTGTTCACTGGATTTCTCCATTTGGGTTTTTCAAGGTACCTCAGATGCTCGGCTGGTGGATGGTGACTTTCAGAATAAAAGGCTTTTGCAACAAAAGTTTCTGTGGGTGGCTTCTGGACAGCGGCATTGGTTGGGGCTCTTGCCATCCTACACCTTCGTTTCCGGAAGGAAAATGAACTTGGTTCACCTGTGTTACTGTACAAGTACTGCTATTCTTTGAATGTTTTTCAATTGCCTTTAGCTGTGAGAGAAAGGAAGCTTTATATTTTTAAGAAATGTATTTGATAAGCAATGCCAAAAACACTTTGCAAACTTTTGCACATTCTACACACAGTGCCTATAAATCTCAGTAGTAATTTCAGTTTGCACTTTTAGCATCTGCCAAACAATGCTTTAAACAGTCTTCAGTGTTCCAATGTCTTATTACCTCCTCTCCTCGGGGTTTAAGTATTAGATGTTTCTTTGGGTATTACTGTTCATGAGTCAAAATGACTGTACATTGGGTACCTCTGTTGGGCTAATAAATAACCTGGACAAAACCCAGCAGTACCAACTCCTTATGCATTTGAACTCTGGTTTGTCAAGGGGGTGGGGACTTTAGCACCTTGGAGCAAGGGGAAGAACAAAATGCAGGCGCGATAGTAAGTCACGGTACAGTGCATTCTGCGCATAAGACAAGTCTCAGCGTCTTGCCCCTGTAGGGGCCCTGTTGCTACACTCATGAACCTGCTTTCTGAGCTCTGCCCAGGAGCAGCTGTGGTTGGCCTGGAGCCATGACCACAGTAGTCTGTGCACTCATGAAGCGGGATGCTAGACGGTGCAAAGTTGACCAGTCATCTACTTTAAAAACCGTACATACCTGAAACTCAGCGTCTGCTTCCAGCACCCTGAGTGGTGTTCCGTGAGCATTGCACCGATGTTACTGATGGGATTTTAATAAATCATCCGCTTCTGGGTGAATCCAGGCACGGAGGGCAGATGTGAGCTGGAATTTGTCTGCAGAGAACTAGGCCAGCCTCAGCTTAAAGCTTTAATGAGGACTGAACTGACTTCACTACCGGAAAGTTAATAGCAACCTGTACTTCCTTGGAGGACAAGGTCAATGAAACGCCACACAGAACGGGCCCCAAATTTTATACTCCCTAAAGTTCATGCACAGAGCTACCTACGCAATTGCAAACTCCACCTGCGAAGTGCTGTGTCCCAGACACATTCTATGTTCTAGGCACCAACAGAACATGAGAACACTTTCCTAAAGGATTATACTATGTATTTAAGTCTCCCATTTGGACAGTACAGGTGTCTTCATTAAAAATCAATAAACTTGACATTGACAAACGGGTATGGAAGTAGTATTACCAGTTTCTGTAAATATAGAGGTTTTTAAATGCTATGCCAAAATCCAGCACTTTAGCAATGCCTGTGAGTAACACTGATGTCAGGCTCCCTGTTAACAGCAAGTTGTTGCCAGATCAAAAGCAGTCCCATTTTACCCAAACAAAAACTGCAGATTTCTCCTTAGGGACAAAAACATCTTTATTTCCAAGGAGATTTCAGCACATTGTTGCAGAACTTTCTCTAGAAAATGGGCTTTTCCAAAAGATTCCAAGAAAGGTTTCTCGGGTGACCAAGATGAAAAATATTTCCGTGTTTCATTAATCAAGATTATATAAAATTATTGCTGTAATAGTAACATAAGATCTTGACTTTTTTAAAAAAATTACCCAAGGTGGAAATTGCCGGTCATTTCTGCATTTGTCAAGCCATTAGCCATAAAGTATAATAGAAATGTAAACATACTTCCAGAAAAAAAAAAATCACATTGTCATCTTAGCACACATTGTTACTCATATTGCTTTACCTTAATTTGCCCTAGACTTAAAAAAAAAAGGGGGGGGGGGGGACTCTAGTGCCAAAAGATTGTCTTCCCTTAGGCCTAGCACAGTTTAAGTGTCACTTAGTGGCCGACAACGACTTATCCAGGAATTAAGTGAGGAGCAGAGAGAAAACACCTCTGTAAAGGCCACAGCTCTCGGGTAAAACCTCCGATGGAAGCTTTTCAGACAGGACACGTGCCCTGGCACTCAGGGTCCCTGAGCTGACTTAGCATTAGAGTTTATAGAAGGTGCAGGCAGGGTGTATAGAACCCAGAACACCGGCACACCAGTAGGAGGCAGGCTCCCCTCACAGCCCCTAGTCCCAGGAGGTGGCAAGGAAAGGCCACCTCTCAGAAGCCCAGGCGCCTGGTACGTGAGGCCACCTGCAAGGGGACCAGGGGCTTCACCAGCACTACTCCCCCACCCACCCACCTCCTCCAATCCCAGCGCCCAACTCCTGGGACTGCCCCCTGACCAAAAGCCAGAGGGCCCTGCAAGCAAGCCCCGGCATGGAGCCGGTGTAGGGGGTGTGACAGGTGGGCCCCAGCAGGGCAGGTTCAGCCCCAGTCATGATCCATGAGTGGGTGTGTTCAGTCTTCACAATACTTAGTCCTAGGAATTTCAGGGAATGGATTGTGAGTGACAGAGGCGTGCGGTAGAAGGCTTTGTATGCTGCAGGGTTTAAGCCTGAAAAAATGCCACAGTCGGGAACTTACCCCTCAGGTCTGCATTGCAGGCAACACCTGTAAATGAAACATGGGGCAGAAAAGTATCGATGAGCAACCTGACAGCCAATGCTTTTGTAGGGATGACCGAACCGATGAGCCAATGGAGGGCAAAGAACTGTTCAAGCCAGGGCTACCCTGGCCCTAGCATTCTGACGACCGGATCACAGGGTCCCTGCAAGGCAGCCTCTACTGGAGTTCAGGCTTCTCACTTTGCAGCCACACTCGGATCTTATCAAAGTTCTTATCCATCCAGCGTATGTTTTCCTCGATGGTTTCGAGCGTTTGTTGGACACAACGGAGCTGTGAACCATTGTCTTTCAAAGAGCTGAAGAATCCTTTTACCTGGGGAGGAAAGGATGGATTTAAAAAACATTCCGTTAAGCCTGACTTCAGGCTAGGTCAAAGGAAGTGGACGCCACAATTCCAGCGCTTGTCCAAAGGGGCTGCAGAAGGCAGCCGAGGCGGCTGGCAGCGATGACCGACCTGCACGCCAGCGGGAGCCGGGGAGCGGACCGCACCTCCTGCAGTTGCCAGACGTTCACTGGCTGCACCATTGCCACCACCGTGAAATCGAGGTTTTCGAGCATATATCCTGCAAACCCGGCTTTTTCAAGCGTAGCATCTCACGAGCAGGAAGCACAGTGTGTCTTTTTCGCCAAGCAAAATGGTTAACCGCCCGAGTGCGGCCTTTCTCATCGGACCTGGCCTTGGGTTCTTATTACTGAAACTCCGCAGGGAATGGCAGCTTTAGTCAAGACGGGGTGACCCACAAGACCTCGCCAGTTTCTTATCCTAATCCAGAGTTCACGTATTCCTCCCTCAAGGTAAGTTCTGCAGACAGTGCCCCATGGTTTGAGAGGGATCGGAGACTCCTCGCCGTGCCTTCCAACACCGGTCCTGGCCCCAGCCCTGGGCACCTCTGCCCTCAGCACACAGCAGGGGAAGGTGGCCCTGCCATGCCGCTGAACAGGCCACTGCTGGTTTTACCTTAAAGGGTTCTTAACCTGTGCCCCTAGGTTCTCACAGCACTAACCCATCCAGTGCTGAGTGCTGCTGTGAGGAAGCGTAGGCCAACATCTTAGTTACTCTGCATGGATTCCAGATAGCAGGTTCCTTAACAGCCCATGTCACAACCCCACACGTGGGAGTAATAGATCAGCTTCCCACATACATCTCTGTGTCATCTAACAACGTTCCGATGAGCTGGACATGAGGCCCCCGCTGTGGGGACCGGCAGAACACCTGTCTACTGTCCTGCCTTGGCCTGTAGCCCAGATGACCGAGTTCCCCGACCTCAGGAGTCCACACGAAGTCCAGTCTGCTACGTCACAGCAGGTGCATCCTTTAGCAGTCAGACCGCAGTGGCAGTCAGTCCAGTTTAATTCATCCTGAAGGAACCCATGGTGAGGGCACCGCTGAGCACAGACCTGCCAGAGCTGGGGCATAGCCGGCTGCCGCGGTCTCCCCATCCCCGACCCAGACTGCCTTCTGCCTTGGAAATGCGGCACCTCCACCTAGACGCCAATCCTGGCTCTGAGTAAATGTGAATGCTGTCAAAAGCAGGGCAACACAGGGAGGGAAGCAGAAACAGGCTGGTCCCACTCACTTGTTTGACCTTAAATGACTAACTCGAGACTCCGGCTCCTCATTTGTAAATCGGAGCTAATATCCACATTGCAGAGCCGCGTGCAGATGTGGTTGGGTAACGGGTTCAAGTGCAGAACCCCAACCCCAGCCTGCGTCAGGGACTCAGTCCATCCCCTGTCCACCAGGATCCGCTCTGGCACTAACTCACCCCTCCGCCCCAAGTGCTGTGCCACCCAGGGGCAGGCCTGCCCACGCCAGCTTTCAGCTCCCCGGGGGACGAGCACACGGCCGCCCAGAACACGAGCCAGACGAGGATGGGCACTGGGGAGAGGGAGGGGGACACTGGTGCTGAGGCCTCTGCAGTGAACAGAGAGCCCTCGTGGTGAAGAGCTGGGGACAGAGCAAGCCAGGCAGGCAGAAGACAGTGCGGCAGGGGTGCAGCGAGGAGCAGCCCGGCAGTGTCTGCAGGGGTCAGCTGGAAGGGGCGGCAGGAGCCACAACCATCGTGGACACATGGGTAGGAGGGGGTGGACATTATTCCAGAAACAGTTGGCGGGGTTTCAAGAAGGGGTCAGTCACCAGCTGAGTCTTGAATGTGGAAAACGCCTTCCTATCAACAAAGAGCCAGGAGGGAGGCGAGAGGAGAGAAAGGCTTGGCCTGGGCTAAGTGCAGGGTGGAGGGGTGCCGAGACATGGTGCACATGAAGCAGGCAGAGGTGGGGAAGGCAGGCCTCCAGGCACCTTGCATTTCACAGGCGCCCTAGCACCTGTTAAAACAGCACCTCCGGCTCTTACAGTTCCTGCCTCAGCGCCTTTGCACCTGACATTGACACACACCGTTCTAGATCAGGGTGGGCCACCTGGGTATTTCTAATGTCATTCACAGGTCATACAAAACTATCAAATTACCCTGCTACAGAGGGCAGCGTTCTGGCTTTACCTGCTGTGCCACCACCGAAAATGCCAGCATGCCATGTGGACGCCAGTTCATGTCCCGGCTGCTCCATTTAAGATCCAGTTCCCTGCTAACGACCCTGGAAAAGCAATGGAGGATGGCCCAGAAGTGGATGGGCCGTTGCCACCCACCCAGGAGACCCAGATGAAGCTCCTGGCTTCAGCCTGGGTCAGCCTTGGTCATTGCGGCTACTTGGGAAGCGAACCAGCGGATGGAACATCTTTCCCTCTGACTTTTAAGTACATTTTTACAAAACTAGCCTGTTAGGGATTTGTTGAAATCAAGTGCCGCTGTGACTGCGGGACACAGAGTCCGATGCTCCCTGCTCCTGTCCTGGATTCTGGCATTTTCCTCGGCACCTTCTCAGACGGTTCCCAAGCCTCCCACAGAACACAGCAGTCCACCCCCACCCCCTCCTTGCCTCACTCATCTTTAGGGCACGCAACTCAACACAGGTGGATGTGTCCACAGCTGCCCGATGCCCCCAGTAGCAGCCACAGGCTCTTGTCTATTTGGTCCTCATTGTAGCCCCAGAGGCTGAAACCACAACTAGAATATAAATGATGTATTAAGTCTTGAGTCAACGAGTAGAATACAGAGTTTTGTTGCTACTGAGCTGCTCAATGGACAGCTCTGGTCACCGCACACAGCACCTCTGCTCTACACCTCACTGGGGTGCAGGCTGGAGCTACCCTCTGCAAGCTCATTTCGCAGGCCTGGAGGAGGCTGCCGAAAATGGGGAGACAACTACACAACCGTGATAACTCAACCTTTCTCTAAATACAGCATTTTTAAGACCACGTAAAATCTGCTCCGGGAGTCTGCCGTCGACACCTTGTTACAGAGGAGACCCAGCTCCTCCGTTCACCACTGCAGGGAGCCCGCTTTCCCACAATCCCTGTGTTTCCTGTGCCCTCGAATGGACAACGAGAACCACTCACACTCACTCCTCATTTCTCCATCTCTGAGGTCCATTGCGGGCACCAAGCCAATAGCTATGCCCAGCCCGAGTCCCTCATATAGTCCCCTCTTGAGCACCAAGCAGCTCTTTGCTATTGAAGTATGTTTTGATGTCTTTTGTAGGTTGTGCAAAATTCTGAAAGTAGATGGTGCTGAAGTGTCAGAGAAACCATGAATTTAGATTGTACAGAACCTGGGTTCCAGACCTGCCTCTCACAAAGCTAGATGACACTCG